CAGAGAGACCTGGGTTCAGTTCCCACTAAGGGCACGTACTTCAGTTGCAGTTTGTCCCTGGCCCCAGTTGGGGTCATGTGGGTGGCAGCCAGTCGATGTGTCTCTCACATTGATGTTTCTCTCTCTTCCTCCCTTTCTCCCTCTCGCTCTATTTGAAGATGAATGCAAAAATGTCCTCGGGTGAGGATTAAAAAACAAAAAAAACCCCCAGAAAATGGCAGAATATCTCCATGTCTTCCAGGTCCTTTGTGGGTTTCTTTTTGCTTCCTCTCAGAAATAAAGATTTTTTGTATTAAAATGTTGCATTTATATGCATTTCTCATCACGAAACTTAAAATACAGAATTTGTAGCATTTTTAAAGTAGGAAATTGTGACTCCTCTTATGTAATTCTTCAAGTCATAATTTTCTAAGTGAAATGTAGTCTGTATTAGTTGGTGGCACCTACTGGCAGAGAGAGATAGCTGCTTGGAGCCCATTCTACCTGCACGCAGACTGACCCATACAGCAGTCTGGGAAGGGGGCTGTATCTTAGATTTATCAAAAGTGGATGTTTCCTTTGTCTCCCAGAAGTATTTATTTTTCTGGTTAAGTGGGATGAGGAAGAAAATTCTGCCATGCTGTTGCCCCAGTCCAGTGTTTGCCGATATGTGCTGAGCTGTTAATTAAGAGATATTAGAAAAGGGGGGTGTCCATATCCAACAAACTTGGAAAAGCTAGGCCCAGCCAACTTGGTTTTAATTAAGTTACAGAGCCTTTGCTGTCTTCGTGAAGTGTGTTATAGATGGCAGTGGGGATGGTGGGGATGGTCTGAGGTGGGGAGGGCACCCAGTACACAGCATTTGTCAAATTTAATCAGACCCTGGGACCCATTTTTCTCTGAACATCTTTTGTGTTACCTGGAATTCTCTGAGAAATGATCCTGTGATCAGTGTAGCGTGAGAGCAGCATTTCCCCTTGGCATCTTCTGCTAAAGGCTCTGTAAGAGAAGGAACAGGTATTAGTTCTCGTGGTATTTGCTAGTTCTTAAATGTGTGTGTTGGATGGAGTCTGTCGTGATGGTATCAGTGCAGATTCCTTACTCAGGATGTTGCCAGTACATGGGCCATGTCATTTTGCCATAGCAGTGATTTTAAAACAGATGTACATAAAAATTATCTGGGGAACTTAAAAACAACAACAGATATGTCTAGGCTCTATCCACTCTGGACCACTATTTGGTCAAAGACATGCTTTGCTATCTTACTGCATATGGGACACCTTTGAGAATCTAATGAAAGCTCTGGATTATCTTTCTGGAGGCATATATACACACCAGCTTTTGTTCATGACTTCATGATATTTATAGCCCTCATCCACACCCCCAAACCAATGGGTCTCTAGTAAAGAACTCCTGAATTAAATTTCTCCAAATAAGGACAAGCAGGATTTTAGCCCAAATTTTAGATATCTGTGTACTCCATGAATTGCTTGGCCATGGTGAGAACAGACTGTATTTGAAGAAATTGTACACTGTCAGAGACCAGAGAAGCCCAAAGAGAAAGAAAGGCCAGTCCTGAGGTGATACTGATTTGGTATAGCTCCCCAAGGAGGCAAGTCAAGGAGCTGACATCCTTAGAGCAGTGGTTCTTAAGGGAAGAGGGCAGTTTTGCCCCTTACCCCTGACATTTATCATTCTGGAGACATTTTTTGGTTGTCACCATTAGGTCAGGGGAGGAGGATGCTACTAGGTAGAAGCCAGGGATGCTGCTAAACATCCTCTAGTGCACATGACAGCCTCCATACAACAAAGAATGATCTGGTTCCAAGGTCAGTAGTACTAAGGTTGACCTGCCTTAGAGTCTAGCTTCTTCTTCCTAGATTGTATCTTTTGTCACTAGTAGTATCAGAATAAGAAGGTCTGCATTTTTATTTACATGTGATGCTTCTTGGTATAGATGTAGGAGGAAAGAGAAGATGATGAAATGGGTAGGAAGTGAATAAGCCAGGTTGGTATTTCAAAGAACTTTCCTTTCCCAGAAGTGTTGGAAGCTCTCAGGTTGGCTTACTTCATAGTTTCGTCTGAGAATTTGGATGTAGGAAATCACCTTCTTTTTCACATGGGAAGCTCATTGTTTTCTCTTACCTCACTCTTGAATCTGTGACCTATTTTATTTAAGGACTAAATGCCAAAGTGATTTTAAAAATTGTGGCTTCTATAAGGGAATTTTTTATTCTTGCCATTTCTCTTTATTCCCACAACCGCGTTTAGCAGTTTGGTACAGATGATGGGGATAGAAAGGGTATGTATTTTATTTTTCAAAAGTGGGCGTTGCTTTTGTTTCCCAGAAGCGTTTGTCTTGTGAAGTGGGAAGAGGAAGAAATTCTGCCATGCCATCGTCCCAGTCCAGTGTTGGCCAATATGTGCTGAGCTGTTATTAAGAGATGTTATTAGGAAATGAGGTTGCCCACATTCAACAAACTCAGGAAAGCTAGGTTCCACTAACTTAACCTGATGTCCAAGTTGAGACTTCCAGAGCCTTTAGTATCAATGAAGTGTGTGGTGGTGGGGTTGCACACAAGGACGTGGCATTTCTTAAAGTTAGTTAGACCCTGGGACCCTTTTTTCTCTGCGCCTCTCTTGTGTCATTTGGAATTCTTTGTGGAAATGATCCTCTGATCAGTGCAGCTTGGGAGCAGCATTTCCCCATGGCTTCTTCTCCTGGAGGCTTTATAAGAGAAGTTGAAAAAACATTCATGGTGAAGGATTCTTCCAGCCCCCACAGGACTTTATGAAATACAATGTTATAAATTGTATATGTTTATCTACTTTTATGAAGCCTTAAGGAAATAGTTGCTATTTTATGTTTCTTCTCAACTACATAAATAAAAAGTATTTCTCTGTTTTGGAATGAATGAAAGGAAGAATGAAATTTTCTTACGGCAAAGATAGTTGTTCCTTGTGTAGTCTACGGAGACTTCCGACTTTTGTTTTCTCCCTGAGGAAATTATTAAGGTAGCTTAGATCTGAATAGCTCTGGCTGATTCTGATCTAAACTACTGATATTGCAGAAATTTTTAGTTGAAAACATTACACATTTCTTTGGGTGCCTGGAGACATGGGGGCTGGAACTTATCTCTCTTCTACTTACATGCTCAACTCTTCATGCGTCCAGCCATTCTTTCTTCTTGCCACTCTCTTAGAACCCAGGACATTGTGACATGGCCAGGATGGCATTGTAACGACCAGTCAGATTCAGGAGATGATGTGCTGAGTCACTATTCCCTCTTTATTCATTCCCCTGATGAAACCTGCCAGTGTCATTAAGTGTGGAGTCCTTGAAGCTAGCGGTAAAAGGGAGATTCCATGGAGAGAGGAGTACTGGTGGTTTCCCTGTTCTCCACCTCTCCTCCTCATTCAGGATCTTTTGTTGCTGCCTCCACTCTAGACCTGTTTTGGACACTTGGACACACTGCCTTCCTCACTAGCTCATGGTTGATTTTTATATACAGAGCCCTGCTCTCCTGCCTCTTTCCCCACTACAGACCTTGGTGCTTTGGACTTATGAGATTTTACTGAGGAAGCGGTGGATTTTCAGTTGGCAACCATCTGGAGGGAGCCTTTCTGTCAAAGTCTGAGGTTTGAAAAGCGCGAGAAAGTACCACTTGGGGGAAAGCAGCATCTTCAGAACAGGGTGTGAACAAATTTCATACCGGTTCAGTGTAGCAGCACCGTGCTGAGTAGTCTCAGTTCCCATAGCAACTCTGTGTGGTTGTGTTTGTCCATGGCTAACACACCTTGCTCAGGATCACACAAGAGTGACCAGGTCAGGTTTCTACCTTCTCTCTGGTTTGCAAAGCCTTTGGCTTCCCCTCTTCCTAGTACCCCGTTCGTGATCAGAGCCAGCTGTGGTACCCGCCCAGCGGAGTAGCAGTGTTGGGGCTGACTCTCTGCTGTACCTGCCCTGGGCGTTTCCAAGTGATTGTTTGGAAATACTGTATGGATCCAAACATTTTACAAGTTGAACATCAATGGAAAATCTGAGAGATAGGCTTCTCCCCTACAGGCACTAAACAGGATCTTGTAAATATTGATAACTTAGATCTATAGGATCATTTTGAATAATACTATGGAACGGATGTAGCTTAAATTGTGTACCCCAATCTTCTAATTTTAGGTTTGGGAAGGAATCTTAAAGGGACTGCTGTCCATAGATGAGTTGTTACTCCTTTCTGAGCACAACTCGCCCACTTCCCCTACTCATTAAGTTTCCATTTAGCTATTAGATAGGAGCTTCAAAAGGGAAAATCCAATCATGTATAACCTCCAGTTAATGGGCATCTATTGAGCGACGAGGTCACCAGAAAGAATAATTACACAGTGCTTCTTGTGCAGTAAACACAAAATCAGAAGCTAATGCATTCATTCCTGAGGCAAGCCAGATAGTTACTGGCTAATAGTATCCTCTCTTTGGGGAAAAGGTTGGGGTACCCACCATGCTTGCTAGAGGAGATTGCAAAGCCATTCCAGAAAAACAAGGCCATCAAGGGAGGAAAGAGAAAGGTTGGGGGTGGGGTGGGGTAGCACCTCCAGGGCTTTGTCGGTTCTGATTGCTGAGGGTTGGGGTGGATTACTGAGTAGCAGACATTCTAGTAAATGTTTGTGCAATCATCAGGAACTTTATGGGTCTCTGGGGCTTCTCACCACAAGTAAAAGAGTAACAGTGATGACTGAGGTGGAGCTTCAGCCCTGCTGCCATAATTCAGCTGTTTTCTAAGTCAGCCAAACTTTCTTATAAGTAAGACTTTATGCTTACTTTTCTCTAGCCACTAACTGTATTGATTTATGAAAGATGAGCACAGCCCCCTTGACCCAAAATAGTATGTTAGCCACAAGCCAGATTAGCTCTTGGGTTTGTGTTCGTACACTCTAGTTTGGGTTTTCAAAATTATATTTTGGTGTAGTTATTTAGGTTTTGCAAAACTTGGCATAATTCAAATAATCTGTTTTTCCCCCCTTAGAACACTTCAGTTATGGAGGATCAAAATGAAGATGAGTCCCCCAAGAAAAATACTCTTTGGCAGGTAGGAATGACCGCGCACAGATAAGATAGCAGTTGACTTACTGTAGATGAGATGCTCCCTCGGCTCATGACCTCATGAAAAAAAGAGTCAAGCCGTTTTGTGTTTTCTTGTGTGCAATTTTGCTAGTTTCAGAACTCATCTTAATTTATCTTCTGATCCTTAGGGAAGTGTCATTTTGAATAGTAAAGAATTTGAAATTTTCACAAAGATTCTGAAGTGACTGTAGCCTAAAATATTGTGTGTTCACTGCTTAAGCCAAAGATGGACGGTGGTGGTGTCCTTTTTCACCAGAATTGCACCATGCTACACACCAGTATATATGCATTGAGGACTGTTTCTCCCTGTTCCCATCCTTCTTCCTCACTTCCTGTTGGTTTGCCTTTTCCTTTTAAACTCCGTTTCCTTCTCTTCTTGCTCTGTCTTAGTTTGCCAGTTTTCCTCCCACCCCTCAGTTTTTGTTTGCTTGGTGTGTGTGTGTGTGTGTGTGTGTGTGTGTGTGTGTGTGGTGGGATGAGGTGGGGAGAGCATGTAAAGTTTCATGATTTAGTACAAATCATTTTTCCCTTCATGAGAACACAAAGGCAGTAAACTAGTCTAAATCTGGAGAATAATGTTTACAAATTTTTCTAGGTTCATTTGATTTGAAACAAAAGGGTAGATTATTTAGCGAGAATGAAGTGTCCCCAACAAATTTAAAATGAAATGAAACAAAGCAAAACAACGCTAGGAAGATCTTCCTGGGCCCAGCAGGTGGTTAGAAGTAGCAGCCGTGCCCTTGGCGCTGTTTGGGGAACTGGGCAGACTGCCTTCTGTCCCTCCTTCACATTTGTACCTGCAATAGGGCTCTCTTCGTTTACTGGTGATTTTGCAAGTCACCGTGTTTTTAAAACTCTGGCGTTCAGTTTTTCTTTTACTTCTCTTTTAGTCAACTAATTCATGGTATAGCAATGCTGTGGGGAGGATGGATGGTTATGGTTAGGAGTCTTTCTGTAAATGAAATAACCCTTTTGCTTATCAAATGAGATAATGTGTATGAAAGTATTTTGTAAATTATAATGCGGTACAAAAATACACTTTGTTACACATTATATTTAACCTGTTATGAAAGCAATTTTTTTGGCAAGTTATTATGAAAAATGTTATAAGCGGGCAGCGGGGGCGAGGAAAATATATATTCTTAACTCTATCCTGGGGTGTTCCCCTACACACAAATTATTGTGATTATTCTATGTAAAATTCTGCATCATGTTTATTTGTTAATATTATTTCACAAAAATGTTCTCTTGTTATTAAAATCTTTATAAACTTAATTTTTTAAATTGATTTTTAGAGAGAGACAGACATAGAAACATGGATGAGAGAGACAGAAACATGGATGAGAGAGAACATCGATTGGCCGCCTCCTGCACGCCCCCCACTGGGGATCGGGCCCACAACATGGGCATGTACCCTGACCAGGAATTAAACCGGTGACCTCTTGGTGCATGGGTTGACGCTCAACCTCTGAGCCACACCAGCTGGGCCTATATAAACTTAATTTTAATGGCTACATTGTAGTACTTTATGTAGATGTGTTATAATTCGCTTTAACCAATTACCTGTAATTGGGCAGTTATTTCTCATTTTTCTCTGTTATAAACATGGTGGACATTCTCATGCTTAAAAGCAGCAAAGATATTCCTTATACCAGTTGATATTTACCGCAGCAAAGAATTTTCATTTCATTGGACTGTTTTTGAATGTTGATGATTTTTTTTTTTTTTTTTGGTCTTATTGTCTTAACTAAAATAATGCTGCCCTCTGGTGGTACCCTGTGTCTGAGCTCTTCCTCACCCAAGTTACAAGAGAAGAAACATTCCTCCATAAAGGAGGCAGTTAAAAGATCAATGGATGGGAGATACATGCCTTCCGACTCTGTGCCTCTAAATGTGGACATAAGAACTTTCTTCGGGCAGGAAAAATGTATAAGATTCTTACCAAGGGAGGCCAGAGACTCCTTTGGAAATTTACAGAAGATGTCTTCTTTCTGGGATGGGTTCAGTCAACTTTTAGTTAGGGGCAAACTGTAACAAAAGCTCTTGCTTCTTTCTGTGGAAACTTCTGAGAGAAGCTCCTAATGGGATGATGGGTGTTTATAATGCAATTGTTCAGTATTCAAAGTTCTCTTCTACGTTATTCCTTCTGGTATACACACGAAGGGGCAGCCATCAGAGGAGTTACAGGCAGATAGCTTGACCAGTGTTTGATAGAAATGTTGAGGTTACTTTTTTTTTTTTTTATCCTCACCGGAGGACACCTTTCCATTTTTCTGTTCAGATAGAGTGGGAGGGAGGGAGAGAGAGAGAGAGAGAGAGAGAGAGAGAGAGACATCGACGTGAAAGGGACACATTGAGTGGTTGCCACCCAAACGACCAACCAGGGCTGGGGACAAACTGCAACCGAGGTACATACCCTTAGCGGGAACCGAACCCCGGTCTCTTTGGACCGCAGGCCAATGTTCTAACCGCTGAGCCAAACTGGCCAGGGCGAGGTTACTTTGTTTTTAAACAGGGAAGTTATTGAGCCTCATAACGTCAGTAGCAAGTTATGGCTTCAGTAGCAAGTTATGGCTTCAGTCTAGGGATTTATTTATTTATTTGTTTATTTGATGCTATTGTCCAGATGTAGTTTATATAGTATCAGTTTTTAAAAAGCACACTGGTTTTATACAAGGATTGTGTAGATTTGATGAGAAATGCAGTTAGGATAGGAGTCTGGGATATCCATAAACCTACCATATAAGACAAAGAACTTTTCAGGTTTACCCTGGGTCACCTTAAGAGCAAGTGAACAGCCCTGGCCAGTTTGGCTCAGCGGTTAGAGCATCGGCCTTTGGACCAGAGAGTCCTGGGTTCAGTTCCCACTAAGGGCAGGTACCTCGGTTGCAGTTTGTCCCCGACCCTGATTGGGGTCATGTGGGTGGCAACCACTTCATGTGTCTCTAACGTCGATGTTTCTTTCTCTCTCTCTCTCTCTCTCTCTCTCTCTCTCTCTCTCTCTCTCTCTCTCTCTCCCTCTCACTCTATCTGAAGATAAATGCAAAAATGTCCTCGGATGAGGATTAAAAAAAAAAAAAGAGCATGCGAACAAAAGAAGGCCGTGAAAGTCTAAAGTTTTGCCAGCAGTTTGTAGCCCTGGAAACAATAGGGAAATCAAAACTTTTGGGTAAAATGAAGCTTTTTAGATGCCAGTGCCTTCATATTTCTCCGTTTGATAGACCAGTGGTTCTCAAAGTGTGGCCTGCAGCGTCAGCATCACTGGGAGCTTGCCAGCAATGCAGATTCTCGGGCTCTACTCCAGACCTGCAGAGTCTGAAGGGCTCTGTGGGGCCCAATCTCTGTTAAAAAGCCCTTTTGTTATTCTGATGAACACACAAGTGTGAGAATCGTTGGCATAGACAAACCATTAACTTTCAGCATTGTGGAAGTAAAACTATTAATAGTCAGTCAGTTACCGCTTTGCCAAGTTGAGCAGTTTTTCTAAGATGGTCCTCTCTAACTTGTTAACCTGGTCGCAGAATGGTCTGGTAATAAGCATTGGAGAATGATGGTTTAAGATATTGTTAAGCCTTGGAAATAGCTGTAACTGTGGCATTTACTTGTGAGACTCATTCGAGGACACGGGGTTCTGAATACATTTTTAATTACTTCCTGAATGAATTAATAAAAGAATGAGTGGCTTTAGGGTAAAACTGGCACTTTAAGATTAAATACACAGGATGAAATGTTTCTAATGAAATACCAATTAGATTTTTTTTCCCTTGTCAAACTAATTATTATTTTGTTTTCCTAAAATAGATAAGTAATGGAACATCGTCTGTGATCGTCTCCAGAAAGAGGCCATCAGAAGGAAACTATCAAAAAGAAAAAGACTTGTGTATTAAATACTTTGACCAGTGGTCTGAATCAGATCAAGTGGAATTTGTGGAGCACCTTATTTCCCGAATGTGTCATTACCAGCATGGACATATTAACTCGTACCTGAAGCCCATGTTGCAGCGGGACTTCATTACCGCTTTACCAGGTAACTCGACTTGTCTTTCCAAAAGCTGAGCAGTGGAAGGATGCTCAGCCCAAGCGGCGCTGACTGGGTATCTTTGAGAGCAGTGGATGAGAACAGTGCAAGGCAGCACTTCTGGGACCCACCCTGTGTTTTCATATATGGCATTTGAAGATCAGGTCTGCTTTAGCATCTGTCTGGGAAATGGAGGCAGTTTCTATGATTAATGGTGTGGATCACTTAATGTGTTTCATTTAATTTGTTTAACAATTAATGCTATATGGTAGTTATTTTGATGTAGTCTATATATAATCTGCATTTTGTCTTTATAACTAAGTTTTAAAAATAATACAGATCAATTTTTTCTATACTCTTTGTGATTGGGAAGTTTGGGATGTTCATTGGTATCTAAAGTGACACTTAGGGGCCCTGGCCAGTGTGGCTCAGTTGGTTGGAGCGTCGTCCTGTGCACCAGAAGGTTGCAGGTTCAATTATAATCAGAGCACATATCCAAGTTGTGGTTTTGATTCCTGGATGGGAGGCAACTGATTGATGTCTCTCTGTCACTCTCTCTCCCCATCTTCCTTCCTCTCTCTCTAAAATCAATAAAAGCATGTCCTTGGGTGAAGATTAAATATATAAAATACCACTTAGGGAATGGGAAAAACATATTGGGAAAACTTATAGCATGTCTTCATTACATTTCTCAGAGCTCATTCCTGCATCCTTCCTCAATGCCCTGCTCACTTGCACGCATACTCCCCACCCCCACTCTTCCGGTTAAGTTTACTTCAAATTTTTAAAAAATAGACTACTTTTTAGAATAGTTTCAGGTGCAGAGAGTTTTTCTTAATCTTTACCCTCCCCCCCCCCCCCCCCCCCCCCCCAACACACAGTGTTCTCTGTCAGCGTCCTATGTTATAGTACATAGACATAACCTGGACACTTCACTGTCACCCAGAGTCCACACAAACATAAGAGTTTACTCTTGGTGTCTTAACTGGGTGAGTTTTGACAAATGTATAATGACGTGTATCTGTCATTATTGTATCATACAAAACAATTTCACTGTTCTGAAAAGCCTCTGTGCTCTGTCTATTCATTCCCCTCTGAGTTTTGATCATTTATTAATTCTTTTCTCTTTTTTCCTCTCTCCATCTCTTTCTCTCTGTCGTCATTGTCTTTTTTTTTCTTCTTCTTCTTTAAATATTTGATTTATATTTGGCTAAGTAAGATAGAAAGATTCCATTCCCAAAGAGAATGCTGGCCAGAGTGTTTTCCTCTACCATGGTCAGTGTAGTGGAGGTTACAACTGCCATGCCAGACTAGGCCTAGAAATAGCCAGGGATAAACCAGTGCCATTGCCACCAGTTCTGCCCCTGACAGAGCTTCTGGATGGCCCCTCAAAGAGCCGCTCCTCACTTAGCCTGTCTGCGACCTGCAGTGCATCAGGACCGCATGTTCTGCGTATTGCCACAGCAAACAGAACTGGGCTTAGGGCTCAGACCTAACACCTGGGGCTGCACATTGACAGGCCAGCTCCTGATTTCTAATTCTGCTCCAAAGCTTATACGTTTACTTTCTACAATGGCAGCATTTAAGGATAGAGTTAGCTTAGGAAAATTTGACTCTCGTTTTTATGCTGAAATATAGCACTGTTTGCCCCATTCATTCATTAGTATTGCTAGGAAAGCAAAATATGATCCTTCTCTTTCTAGAATCGTAGTATTTAATAGCCAAAAGGACTCTTGGCCATCACGCAGTCCTCTTTCTCATTGTGTAGAATGGGAAGCTAAGGATCAGAGAACATGGGTAAAATGCCCAAGGTCTTGCATCATGGTCATTGTGGTGATTGTGCAGATGATTGTCCAGGGTCAGGGTGGTCCGAAAGTTAGTGCAAAGGCTGAAATCAGTTACAATTAAGATTACTTTGAAAAATTACTTAAATTGGCCTAAAGTATAGAATCCATGGTTTACAGCACAATTCAGTAATATTTACTGAATATTAATTATGAGAGAGAAAGAAAAGGCTATGCTTTTCATTGTATGAGAGGGAGGGAGTTTGAGAATTAGAGGCGAGTTTAAGTGAGAGGCGTACACATGTGATACAGGTCTCTGCATGTGCAGTGCCAGGATGCAGAGCCCCCATCGCTCAAGCTTTTCTACTGACTCAGGCTGCATCGCACACCAAATGTCAGGACAGTTTTAAACTACTGATGCTTGTACTTGTGCCTCTTTAGTGCTTTTAACGAAACAAAGCTGTGCCTTTATTTTTCTTTAGCAAATCTGTTTGTTGGTTATTTTTTGTTTGCTTTCTACTGGTTGGGTTTTATTTTATTTTCCCCTATAATTTACTTCTCAAACATTTTCAAGTGCCAGGAAACTCACCCTATGTTTACAGAATATCCACGAGGTGGCACTGTTGTTCTCTTGATTTGTTGGGTATAGTTCAGAGGCAGCTCCTTTTCTTGGGGAGGGTACAGTCTTGGAGAAGAGACAGAACAGATGAACATGTGTTGTGTATATAAATATGGTTAGTATAATTGCATACAATCCAGTTTTCATTACAGCGAATTCTAAGGTATTGTCCATATTTCTGTTAAAGTGGAATTTGTGGTATTGAGTATTACATATTGAATGAATGGACCACTGGCTGAGACATGGAAATATTTTTGTTAAAATACTATTTGTTTTAACAGGATTTGATCTGGACATATATACACATGTCAGTATATATCATACATAGGACTCTAATAGCTGGGGACAAGCTGGCCAAGTAGATTGTGTTAGTTAGTGTCTAGTAGACTTGGATTTGGATTAAACCTGGCACTAGTTCCTTAACACATACCCAAACTTAAGAGCATTGAGGGAGAAACAGGTCCACGTGTATGTTCACACTTAGATTTAATAATGTGTGGAGCAACTTTATTAATCATTATTCTACTTTGGTGTTTAACTTTTACGGTAGATGATCTTGAGTTTGTTTTTTACTGCTGAAATTGACAGTCAGCTTAAGACTTCTTTGATTGTCAAAACCATTCATTCTGTAAAAAATTGTCTATCATTTTAACTTTCTGATGCTTACTGTGAATAGTGTACCTGTTTAGTATAGGGAAAATGGAAAAATGTTTGTGGTCTCTGGCTCCTTTTGGTTCAGTGGAAAAAGTGATAATTATGATATGCTTTTCTAAAAATCATGGTAAATGTTTAGTCTGCAATGTCAATTTCTGCAGGCTAAGTTTGTGGTTTGTAAGAACTGTTGTTAAAGGGGAGTTTTATTATTTGAAGTAGAGGCAGATTATACTTCAAAAAGAGTGATAAGTATTGGTGATCCGTTTGGTGAGGTGTCTAAGCAATTAAGAATTTTGAAACATTTCACTTCTTGGCTGTGGTTTATTCATTTGGTTTATCCCCAAATAAGGATGATAAGTCATCATGGACTGGAAGTATGACAGAGACTAGATGAAAGGTTGCTGGGTTGTGGAAGAACCAGAGCAAAGCTAAGGCTTGGGCTGCAGGGCCAGAGACCCAGCCTGAGCCCGTGATAAAAGGGAAAGAGAGCGGACATTGGATTTAGTCGGAACCTCAATGTCCTTATCTGTGTGGGAATAATATCAGTAATAATATTTCATGGGATGTTGTGAAGATTAAAGAATGTATATAATATGCCTGGCATCTGGTAGGTATTCTGAGGTTGACAGCTTAAAAAAAAGAAAGGAAAAAGAAAAGCCCAGAGAGACAGGAAACACCTGCTTCTCCAGAGGTAATACGATTTATTGCCAGGAAGTTTTAATTATTCACCCACTAATTTCCGAATTGATTCATCCTGACATCATATAGGTAGGTGTGTGTGGCACTTTGTTGGCACAACACAGTGTTGGACTTTGTGACCTGTGCATCATTTCACCTCATTTCTGTCTGAATCCTCAGGTCGGTGTATTCCGAGTTAAAGGTGCCCATCGACAGACTGCTGTCAGCAGTTGCGCTGTTTTTTTGTTTTGGTTTCTAACCTCAGATTTTACCATTACACAGATCTGTGACTAGGAAGGGGGAAGGGACAGCAGGGGTGGGTGGGGAAGGAAGCTTCTTTGCAGCTGCTCTTTGAAATGTGTTTCTAAAATAATAAAAGTTTCTATAATTGTATGATCTAAGCAGCTGTGTTAGAACTGGCTGTAGTCAAGGGCATTGAACTGACATTACACATTTGAGTTTCATTTTGATACAGTGTTATTTATATATTGAGCTTTGAAATTTGTGCCTTTTAATTGTTTTAATTTATTGTTGAAATTTTTCCAGACCTTCATCTGGTGCCTGTAATTAGCACCAGCAGCACTTCTTCGGCGCTGGGAGCGCAGTGTTCTGGCCTCACTTTCTGAGGCCATAATGTGCTCTCTCGCTGCCTGGGGGAGGGGGTGGTGGGAGATGGAGGTCTCGGCACCATAGAGTAAATGAGAGCCAGATACTCATACTTAGGAGACTGCTTCGTTTTAACGCCTCCAAGCAGTTTTTAGCCCAGGCAAGTGGACCACCTTATTCAGTAAATTCTTCGTCCTGAGTAGGCTTGAAACCAGAAAGTTAAAAGGTCCGCATGGCTTCTGGGGATGGATGGCTTCTCCTCGGTGCTCAGATAGTTTGTGGGAGTACTAGTCTTCAGACATGTAAGGGAATGTGAGACTTACAACCAAGATATTAGAGGGGGCTTAGCACTTTGCTAGAGGGGTGTGTAATATTTTCTCTCAGAAAACAACAAAAAGGCGATATTGCTTGGCTTCCTTGGCCGATAATATCAGCCTGAGGGGACTTCGGGACAAGGGAACGCTGACAGGCTGACACTTGTGGAGTACTTGCTCTGTACCTGGCTCCTGAAAAGCCCCCTCTTGTTAGCCTCCCCAGCCAGCCAAGGAAGTGCCTTCTTCCTCAAATGAGAGTATTGAGAGCACCCGTCTCGGGTTACCGGGCAGATTCTACAAGATCATCCATCGCAGGCATTTAGTGCCATGGCTGTTTATGAAGGACAGAGCCCAAAGAAAAGCTGGTTTGCTTCCAGAGAGCAGAGGACTCAAGCTGGGAAGTGGCTGATGATGGGGAAGTAACATAGACCTTGCAAAGTGACTGTGTTTTGAGAGCAAGTATAGAACTAAGAGATAGTCAGGTAAGCAGTAGAACATTCAGAGAAGACCTAAGTTTATTCTCCCGTGGGTCGAGGTTCTAAATGAAAATATGGGTAAAGCCCACTGAGAGATTCTGATGAGTACTTTCTCAGTCCTAGAAGTGGAGAGGCACACAGAGATGCCCATGTGATTATCCATGGGTTTATTTCTCTGATTATAAATAAACGTGGTCAGAAAGATGAGAGAAGGGGGCACAATCACAAAAAAAGTAGACTGAACCTTTGAGAATGGTATCAAGAAGGCAAAGCCCTGAATAATGTAAAATTGTCCCAAATGGTTAAGTAAACTGAGAGAGCTGAAAAGAAACAAGCGTAATTAACTACTTGGAGCAACAGTATGAAGAATGAAGGGACAGTGTCCTTGGGATAGATGGTATAGTGATAATAGACATAGCATATTTTCACTCCCCTTTTAACTTATCTTTTTTCCTTTCCCACTAAGAATAATGGATTCAAAACCAGAAAGGATAGAAAAATTGTTGCTCGAGGAAGCTAGGAAGATAGTTAGGAAACGCAGCTCTTGTAAACAAGTAGACCAAAGACATTGCTTGTCAGGACAGCAGCAGAGCCTGAGGTTGTGACTTTCAGAATTGTAGGACATTGCAAACCATCGGCAGAGCTCCTGGGGACAGCGAGGCCTTTGCAGCTTGCCAGCTGTGTTTGGTGATCCCGCATGATCATACTCTGAGATGAATGACGAGCAGATTGCCTGGCTTTAAGGACTGGAGAAGGTGTATTTGGGGGATATTGGTGGGTAAATTTGATGTTACACTCTAGCAGGATTCTTAAATGGATTGTCACCGGTTAATTAGCATCTGAAAAGACTCTACCTTTGTGTAAGCCTAGAAGGATGTACAGAATGTTAAAGGCTGTTGTCTCTGAGAGGTAGGATTTAGATGCTTATATGCATGTTACAATATTTCTCTAATGAGCACAGGTTTATATGTTAAAAAGAGACACACAGTAGGTAGCGCCAACTTGTAGGCAAAAAATGCAACCTCAACTCCATGTAGTAAGCACCAGCAGCAGAACACACAGAGTAACCCTACCGAAGGCATGGATTTCCTTTTTGGATAAGGTTATTAGACTGGTAGTTCAGAAAAATGATGGCGAGGTGGTAGTGTCTTTTTGCACGTCATTACATTACAGGTAATGCAGTCAAAGATTAGATTCCGCTGCCGGAGTAACAGTCATATCACAGTAGATTCCTAAGACGGCAGTAAGTTAAAATCTCCCCTCCAAAGCATGTAGGAAAACAGTTCCCCTGAAGTGCAGGAGTTTATAGTCATCCTTACTATAATTCACTTTCCAAGCTTTATTTGACTGTGCCATTCAGCCTCCAGAATTCGGATTCTGCCACCCAGAAGAGTGGATATTTCACACCAGATCTGCACAATGGGCAAATGTAGTAAGTCTTTCCTCCAAGTTGGTGGGCCAACATGTTTAATGGATCAGAACCAAGGACAGCACCCATGATTCTAGATATTTCCCTCTAGGCTGCCCTTGATTCAGTCATTACAGTCTCACTCGGCACCAACACTGAGACACTAGCCCTGCAACCATCTGGATGTACTATTGTCCAGTCCACATCTCTCTATTCAGTCTTCAGGGATGTTTGGAGAATTCTGCCCCATGGAGACTCGACCACTTCTACATCACTTTTCTGAACTACTGGTCGAGTAGACTTTGGGAGAATTGTTTTACTAGATGTTTTGGAGGGGAGATTTTAACTTATTGCCATCTTAGGAATCTACTATGATACGACTGTTAGTTCGGCAGTGTAATCTTTGACTGATTAATTGTAATGACGTGCAAGAACAGGTAGTGGTCCCAGTGTAGTCTTCATTAGCAAATCATAACTTGGGTATTCAATCTAGTCCAGAGGAGGAGGTTTAGTATATGAAGGCCTATAAGTTATGATCAATAGTGTAAATAGTCCTTTTAGAGTTGAAGAAAACCTTAGTTTGTAAAGCATTTTTATGTATTATCTCATTTTGCTATTTTCAAAATAGAACAGAGATTACTATCCCCATTTTTTCAGACGAGGAAAGTGAGGCCCTGAAAGTTAAGTACTTAGATACCCTGCCGAGTTAGTGCTACTGTACTGCTTCTGTCTGCCTTGAAAAAGAGAACAAAGATTAAGCAAAGTGCTTTGTCTTTTAAATCTTCATAAAACTCATTTGATTTTTTTTTTCCAGAGTGAGAAAGAACAGTTGAACAGTGGTTACTGGTGAATTACCATTTTATGTGGTGAAAACCCAGGGGGCAGGATGTTTAAGTATTTATTTCGTGTCAGAACTACTACTACTATGTGTGGAAACAAGACTTGAAATTTGAATTTTCCGCTTTCTGTAGTTGGTGTTGCCACCACTACACAAAGTAGACCTGGGAATGAGCTTTATTTCTTGCAGACAGACAACATGCCTAGAACAACAGGATGGGAGTTTTCAGGAGACAGCAGTGTTGACCATAGTGATTTTAAACTGTGAATATCAGGCAGAGGCTGAGTCTTGGTTGTCTTTAAGAGGACCCTTGCATTGTATTGGATAAACCTCTAAAGCCGCGGTTCTCAACCTGTGGGTCAGGACCCCTTTGGGGGTCGAACGACCCTTTCACAGGGGTCACCTAAGACCATCGGAAAACACATATTTCCGATGGTCTTAGGAACCGAGACACGTTCCTCTGTCTCCAGGCGGGTCCACCCACATGCAGATACGCCCACATACAACATGAGGAACTGTATTAAAGGGTCTCAGCATTAGGAAGGTTGAGAACCACTGCCTAGAATTTGTAGACATGTAGTTCTACAAATTTACCTCCACAAGGAGACAAAGAAATTATTTTCAAAAATACATCTAAGTACACCTGATTTTAAGCTTTTTAAGATATCAGTGTTTCACCTTTTTGTCTTCTCAGTCCCAAGGAAGTCACATATCACGTAGATCATGGATTAAAGAGATGATTTGTTACAAGAGACAGTAAATCAGAGAGAGAAAGAAAAGAAACTTGGAGGAGCTCAGAGTACCAGTGTCTGCTTCACTGCTGTGTAGTTGTGAAACCTTGAGTGCGCTATGTCTTGTGCCTCATCTGTAAAGTTTGGGGAGTCATTCGCCCATGTGATTTTAAAATTGAGTTATGTAAAAGTATTTTATCATTATATCTGTTCGATATAGAATTGTCCAGGTCCAGCCTTTACATGTTGCCATGAATTACTTTATCTTAAAAGATCAGAACCAAAGAGAAGTGTGTATGTTTATATGCACATGTGTCTTTGTAGAGCTCTCGATGTTACTCCAGGATGTGACCTGGTTCAGGTTTTCTTTATTTCTCTTACCTTACAGGATGGTGACTGGTACATTTCCATGTCCCTTCCCATTCCTTCATTGTCTTCTGTTTTGTAGAGCAAGGCTTAGATCACATAGCAGAAAACATTCTTTCCTACCTGGATGCCAGGTCTCTGTGTGCAGCAGAGCTGGTATGTAAAGAATGGCAGCGAGTGATCTCTGAAGGGATGCTTTGGAAGAAGCTGATTGAACGCATGGTGCGCACTGACCCTCTGTGGAAGGGACTTTCAGAAAGAAGAGGGTGGTGAGTACTGGGGTTGCGTGTTCCCTTGAAAAATTTGTCTGTGACCTAGGGTCAGTGTGATAACCCAAGAGAAAGCATTTCTACCTGCCAAATGCATTGGCCTATTTTAAATAAGTGGGAAAAGACACGTGGTCAGGAGTTGGGGGGGAAGTTACAGTTGTTACAGTTTTTTCTTATGAAATATATTTTTTCATTATATTTATTAACTGTTAGGAAGTATTGTATCGTTTGATTGATTTGACTTCTCAAAGCCTGTATTTATACTTTTCCTTTCACATTTTTTTTAAGTGCTAATACCATACCAAGAGACAGATAAGAAAAAAGAAAATACCACAAAATTGAAAATTGCCATTTTGCTGTTGGTTATTGTTTCTGGTTGAAGATAATGGGAGGCACAGCAGGCTTTTTTTTTTTTTTTTTTTTTAAGAGAAAACTCATTGTCTTAAATCCAGCTCTCTCTCTCTGTCCTGTCAGTAACCTAGCCCATTAGCACAGAGAAAGCTGTGGAGGGAAGACAAGTGGCAGTGGTGTGAGTGAGGGTTAGGGCGGTATTGCCTTTATGGGAAGAAGTTTGATGTGTATCACGTTAAGTTTTTCCACAAAGCTACATTAGCACTTCTTATTAAATTATCGAATGAAAGGCTAGATTATTATGCATTGGGTATTCAGAAAATAAAAGGACAGGATCATGTTAGAGATCCATTAATCAGAATAAACTTGTGTCTAATACGTTTAGACCCAGAAATCCTGCTTTGGAATTGTTAAAGCTCAATGCAAGTCAAAAGACTTGAATGACACAATTTCTTTGCAAGCACCATGTTTAAATAAAATTCACCCTTTCATGTGCAAAAATGTAACATCTGTTTGTTTTTATTTGGCAGGGATCAGTACCTGTTTAAAAACAGACCCACAGATGGCCCTCCCAATTCATTTTATAGGTCGTTATACCCAAAGATTATCCAGGATATAGAGGTAACTTTATGATTTATCTTTTTTATGGGTTCTTTGTGTCTTGTTCTCAGCTTTTTATGTTGCCTTAGAGTTCTGTTGATCTAAAATCATGGAACAAGTAATTTTTTTTAAGTTGAACTCTTGGAGCAAATGTGTCACAATCAATGTATAATCTGTAGCTATTCTTCAGAATATGTCACGTCTTTTTGTAAAAAATCATCTAACTTTTCTCACCCATGAAACGCTTCTGCAGGGCTGCCATAATTAACACCTTAATCCAATAATCGACTTTTTGTTCTGATTTGATAAAAATTTCCAGAGTCCAAGGCCCAGTTTTTTAGGCAAGTCATTTTATGTTTTTGAACCATATCTAGAGGACTAGAGAAGGCACAGTCTCAGTCTCTTTTGTAAATTTTCCATATTTTTTCATAAAAATTACTCAAATATGATCGTAAGCAATAATTAACTGGGTTTTATAGAGCAAATTAAGCTTCTGGACCATTTTGGATGTGAGTGTAATTCACCAGACCAGTAAAACTCTGTAAACTTGATGAGAACCATTGGAGGTGTTTGATATTGTTCATGTGTTCTAATTGGTTCAGTTTTATTATTTAGCCCTTTTCCTTGAACCAGGAAAGACACGCACAGGCATTTCTCATTAACTCTTTCACATGTGTTCTTGGCAGGTCCTGGTTACTTCACTGTTTCCTCCTTGGCAGAAAAATTTAGCCTTCTCTGGGCAGCGCTGTATCACCCATAAAGTTATACTCGGTTTCCCAAACGTGAAGTAATCCTCTCCCCCAGGTGATAGACATAAAAGTTATTGTGCCAAAATTCATTAATGGAGAAACATGTGCTTTTTTGGAGGTTTTTTTTTTTTGCCCTTTTGAGGCAGATGTGAACCATTGGAATCATTTGGTTAATGGTAAATCTGAATGTGACAGGAATATCATTGTTTAAAGCACAAACCCTTGTCTTGAGTATTCTGGTCTCTAAAATAAGCTATAAAGTAACCTTTTAAGGAGGCTTAAATACTTTCAAATTGCTGCTGGAGAAATCATAAAGTTTAAGAATTAATTGATCCATTGGTAAAACATAGAATAAATTGCCCTTACAGTGTTATGGCTGAGACAGAGTGTTAACTTGAATCTTAGATTGATGTGTGTATGTTCAGGGGAGGGGGGTGTCTCTTACCCTTAGATGGTTATACTAAGGCATTGCTTCTTCGTACATCTTAGAAACTATATTACTTTCTGCTCCCCACCCCAATTATTCTTTACAAAGTAGCTCTAAATTTCCTCAGATAGTTTAGTAAATCCTTTATTATGAGAAGGATGATGTTTAAAGTCAGTCATTGATAAACAGGAATGTTGGAAGAGCTTTGATTAGGTTGAAGATTTGGTGACATGGATTATTTTATTTAACCCCATGAGCACTGTTATAATTGACAATATGAACTTAATATTCTGTGGCGTAATATTCTGTGGTGTGACAGTATGTGACACCACCTACCATACCCATTTCCTCAGGCTGAAATAATATTTTTAAGTTAGTAGAGGAGGCAGATGTGAAGGAAAATAGAGCTATGGGGGAAAACCCTATTTGACACAAAACCTCTACATCATGGTGGTCTGCCCAGTGGTTCTTAAGTGTGGTTTGGAAAAATCCACTGGTTGGCCACAGGGGTCTCCTCCAGATTTTTGTGGGCCAGATCTCTTAGTGTAAGGGATGATGTTTTATACTTCGGTATATTCACTAATAGTAATAATAATTAAAAAATATATACCATGTATAGAGTGTTTACTTCTCCTAGATACTTTGTTAAGCATTTAGCACTCTGTACAATACGTGAAAGGTAGTCATATCTTTTATTAAAATTGAGGAAACAGAGGCTCAACAAGGTTAAGTAGATTACCCAAGGTCACACAGCTAGTGAGTCATAGAGTTTGTGATCAACCTTATATTCTTCTGCATTTCACACACCTTTTTGTACTACTCCCATCAAAATAGAGTTCTTTACCTCTGTTTGGGAGTATATTTAATTCTGTTCAGGGTAGACACATAGGCAGAGAGTTTTGTCAGTGATCCATGAGTAGAACAAATCAGAGACTCATGGGCTTGGCTCTTGCCCATGTGGCTGAATAAAACCCCTGGAAGCAGAATACAATAGTTACAAGTACCCTTTTTTTTGATTGAGCCCTTGCACTGTACTGTGAACTATGCTGTGTGACTTATATAGGTTACTGCATTTAATTCCTACAAGGTTCATATCCCCATCTGTAATAAGGGGAAACTGAGACTCAGAGGAGTTTTAGAACTTGCTACGTAGTTATGTAGGAGAGGTGGGATTTTAACTGAAGTCTGGCTAGCTCTAGGCTTAGTGTTGTCATTTGCAAACTGGAAAATTCAAGAAGTGAAGGAGAAAGATGTATGTTGTTATATAGCCACAGGCTTCAAGGTATACACATCTTCCTCCAGTGTGCGAGTGCTGTGTCCTTGGCTGTTTGCTGAAGAGGGCACGAGTTAAGATAAGGCTGGTTGGCCATGTTTCAGCCCAGTCACAGCCCTGGTGTCCTGAGCTTGGATTTGTCTCTTGCCATCTGAGTAGCGCAAACCCTTTCATGCATGTGCCTTGTCCTCCTGCTGTTCACTGCAGCAAAGCCTTTGAAGCGCTCCCCTTGGAAGGGCCCACTGGTGAAGTGATGGTGTGCTGTGTCGCACCTTTCAGTAAACCCCGTTTTGTTCACGGAAAGCAGGGTGCTTTTTTGTGGTTTGCAGGCTTGATCTTAACATTGTCCTGACCAGAGAATGCTGAAACTTGCCCACCCACCCAGTTGTGTTTAGGTTTCTAAAAATAATGTTATCCCTCCATACGCAGACATCTGTTTTCACTCTATTGCCAATTTAAATGCCGCTGTATACTCTGTGTATCATGGCTACTTTCCCAGTATTTTGAAAATTTGCACAGGGTAAGGGGATTTTACAAGTTCTCAGAAACACAAAATATTCCTCTACAGTAGCCACATCACATGATGTCCAAGTGAAATGGCAGGTATCTGGGTAACGGAAGAGGTGCACCTGTGTGCCCTGTATGCCTGCTGCTGAGGTTAAGGTAATAGTGGAATTGCATTAGAAGGCTGAGCCCCCTTCCTGGGCGTGGTTGGGGCGGGGCGCAGGGCTATCAGCATTAAATAGCAGCCCAGACTGAGACAACCACTCCTGCCAATTTAGTGGGGAGATTTGGGAGGTCAGAGCCTATTCCTTCTGGCCTGGGTTCTGCACAGACAAGGAAGAGCATCGCTGCTGCCATTTGTAGGCACTGTGATGAGCACTTACCTGTGTCATTTCATTTGGCCCTCACAACAGTTTTGAGGAGGTAGATACTATTTTCCTGTTTTTACAGAGGCGCGAATTGCAGCTCACACAGTCCAAGCCCCTTGCCAAAGCTGCTCACTGACCTAGGTATTTTCTGCCACAGTGAGCTGTTTTCTGTTTTTGAGGGTCTAGTTTCTCTAAAGAAGACAGCTTTAAGCATCCTAGTAAGAGTTGAGGTCGTTAAATAAGGCGGGAGGTAGTATTGGGCAGGCACACCGGCAGGTTGTGCTGCTCTCTCCTGTGGGTGGCCTTGGGAGTCGAGAGGGCGCGTTAGAATTAGATGGGTGGTTTGCAACAAAGCAGTCTACTCCCTGGTATGGTTTAGCATCACTTTCCTGGCTTTTTGAACCAAACACTTGTTTGAGGATTAAGGAACCTAATAATTTTTGAAATAGCCCTAAGTGGGACTTCCTAAAATGATCCATCAAGAATTATTTGGTAGACTGTTTCTCTTAAAATTCAGATATGTGTATCAGAAAAGTAGGCTCTTTCTAAGTGTTGAGAAGCTAAGCCGTTTTCTAACTTCCATTCGACTTAGGATGAAAGCCTGTTGCCTAGAGAGCTTTTGAGAGGTTGTGGAGCCTGGCTTTGTTTGAGGGTTGGAGATGGAGAGCACGGCTCAGCCTTTCATGGTGGGCAGCGTCCTCTGTCCAGGCATAGGCTGACCACGCTGCCTCCCCTAGCTCCTCTCTGCTGTATGGCTTTAGGTACAGTCCGTGATTAGAGCCAGGTCACCCAGTCGTAGAAAACATTGTAGAGTAGAGGGAGACCATAACATGCAGGGAATTCTTTTTGGTATGAGGAGCATCCTGCCCCACCCCCACTCCCTTTTTTTAAAGTTTGTTTTTTTTAACTCCCATGTGATGGTAAATATGCCTTTTCATTCATTGAAATATGGAGTAACAAAGCTACTTACTGTTTCAATAATATTTTTAAAATAATTGTGTATGTTTTAAACTAAAAACAGCTATATGAATTTTTAAAATAACACCTGCTCTGTGTGTGTGTGTGTGAGTGTGAAGCAGACAGATTAGGCAGGCAGACAGGCATGTTACATATTCACCTTTGGAATACTTTGGGTTTATATGGAGTCGTGCAACCTGCAGCAACTCTGAGCCCTAGGAAGGTGCAGCCTGCACATGGCAACAACCACTGCTGAGAGTTACTGGCCATGCAGACTCGTTCCAGCACACCTGCCCCTACGCAGCATTCTGCTGGTGCGCTTTAGCGCCAAGGTGTCTCGGTCACGTCTGAAAAGACGCTGTTTCTCTAGATGGTTCCAAGCACTAAGTTCCGTGTAAGAAATTCTTTATATCCTGGACTCTCTTTTAAACTGGTGTCTCCCTTGATAGCAGTAGCAGAAGTAGGGTGAGTTAATTTGGTTTGGGTGTGTGCTCTTACGTCTGAGACTACACACTCACTAGAAGTGATGCTGCTGGCTCAGGAGCTCTGACTTGGTGAGCCTTTCCTTGCTCCTTGCATCTCCATGGCATCTCCTTGCATCTCCTGGGCATCAGCAATAGGCAGTCCCACCCTCTCTTGAGGCTGTGTATAGACAAGGATGATATTTCCAGGCTTTTGTGCTAAGGACTGAGGCTACAAATGGTCAAACATTTTTCTTTTTATCGGTATCTCCAACCCTCCATTTCTTTTTCTATAAAATGAGGGCAGTAATTTGGCTTCAGAGTTGTAATGATTAAATTAGATATAAAATATGTAAAGTGCATAGCATCGTACCTAGCACATAACATCCTGTGAATTGAAGCATTTTAGCTCATACGGAAGCATACTGCCTTCAAAATAAGAGGAAATGCGGTTTGTCAGATGTTAGCAGAGCCAGTGGTTAAGTGCTTCTCATGAATGAAGATGAGATTTATCTCCTTTCTTCAGCAAAGCAACTAAATACACTTGTAGCTACTCAGAATTAACTACTGAGAGCTAATCTTTTAAACTGTATCCTGATGTAACCAACTGTTCTGGTCCCTCTTGTCCTCTAATTTCAAGGATCAGAAGCTTACACTTTGGTTGTTCTTAGTAGAAACGTTGTTCCTTTTAATCCTGAAAACCCCCTGTATCCACTACAAAGGTTAGGTCTTCGAGGGCTCTGGGCATGGCCCAGTGAGGATTAAACGTTGCCCACTGGTCTCATGCCATACTACTGTTTATCTTCTTCAGTCCCGCAGAGTTTACTTTTTAATCACTCATTTGGTACTTACATTTTATCTGGAATTGTTACTAATCATCTTGTGTGCTATGTTCACTGCCTCAATAGCTAGGACTATACTTCTTTTTAGACACTGCATATCTTAGTGGGGAAAGGATGGTCTTAGGAAAAACTGGGTGTGATTTCCAGCTCGTCCAATGACTAGTTTTGTGGGCTCAGGCAAATTGAACTCCTTCCTTGTTTGAAAAAGGAAAATAATAAGAATTTCCTTCCAAGGCCAATTCGTGGATCATTAACCAAATAAACATGTTTGGAGTAGATCCAGTCCCAGATACTGTGCCCAGATACTGGAGTGGTGCCTCTCTGAAAGCAGTATGCTTCCTGTTGATCATGTAATGCCTGTGCCTAGCACAGCTAGTTCCTGGACTATGCTAGCGTATTGGTAAGTGTTGCATGAATGATGAAAGCATGAGAACCCGGGGCTGAAATGTGCCATTCTTACTCTAAAGGAGCTTCAGTCTGGTGGAGGGTTAAAAGTGGATAACAAATACATTTTTTCCTATAGTAGTTGTGCAATAGGTTTTGTCAATAATCGAGACAATGCTTTGGATGGATACAAGATTTCTCAGTATAGGATTAATATTGTTGGGGGTCTTCCACCAAATATTTTAATTGGCATTAGAGAGGGACCCAGTGAGTTACTATTTATTTGTATGTTTTGGATGCAAATGTTATTCTTGAAACACACTGAGCTCTGTCTAGGCCCTTTTTTTTCAAACCCACCTCAAACTCATTGAAAATCCTGTGATAGTTGCCAGAAGGGCAGGGAGGGTTTGAGAGAAAACATTGTTGGGCTAATGTCTTACTTGGAAAAGAACATGATTCCTATTCACAGACAGTTACGCAAACCAAGATGGAGTATCGGTGGTACGCTGTTTCTGGAAGCAGTGCCAGAGTCTGAAACCTGATAGAATAGTTGATTCACAAAAACTCATCTGTTACCTCCTTTCTCCCCAGACTATAGAATCTAACTGGCGATGTGGACGACACAACTTGCAGAGGATTCAGTGCCGCTCTGAAAATAGTAAAGGTGTCTACTGTTTACAGTACGATGATGACAAAATTATCAGTGGGCTACGAGACAATTCTATTAAGGTGAATGACTGTTTTGTATGTATCATCTTTAGAATTGTGGTTACATGTTAGACATTGGACAGGACGGTCTCTTCATTTATTCCAGATTGTGTTTCTAAAGAGCTAGAGGCAGAGCATGTTCCGACACTAACACCAGACCGCTGGTGACTCCCTTCTTACCCTTCTCTGAGCATGTTTCTGTCTATGCTCTGTACTAAGGGCATATAGAAGAAATATCTCAGTATTTCAGGGCTCTAGACCACTTTGTTTCACCACTGGTGAAATTGTGGCTAATTTGCCTGGAAATCAAAGTCATTATTTTTCATGATTCCTGAGAAAGGCTCACATGATAACACAGAAGAATGAGAGAACAATTTAGATTGCTTTTCAGTAGTAGGTAAACTGGATTATTTCTGTGTTTGATGTTTGGCAGCGGATCTGACAGATAGTGTTTTACATTGTTTATAGCTTATTTTCTCATTTAAGAAAACACTGTGGGGTTGTTTGTTTTAGTTATAGTACAGGAAAATTCACTCGTTTTGGTGTAAAGCTCTGAGTTTTGATAGGCACAAATAATTGTGTAATCATAACAACACACAAGATACAGAACAGTTTCATCATCCCCCAGAGTTCCCTTGTCCTGCCCCTTTGTGTTTACTCTTCCCATTCTTCCCCTAGGTACTAGCCACCGCTGGTCTTTCTGTCCCTATAATTTTGCCTTTTTGAGAATATCCTCTGAGTGGGCTCGCTCAGTGTGTAACATTTTGAGTCTGACTTCTTATACTTAGCAAAGTGCATTTGAATTTCATCTGTGTTGTTGCACTTAGCAATGGTTGATCCCTTTTTATTCCAATCAGGGACTTGTCTTTTCATTTTCTTAATGGTAGATTGTTTTTATAAAATCCAGTCTATAAATCTTTTCTTTTATGAATCATGCTCTTGCTATCATAGCTAAGAAGTCTTTCACTAAACTTTTTGAATCTGTGACTTTATATCTTTCCATCTCCAAATTTCAGAAATTTTTGGCTATTACTTTTTCAAATATCTCAGTATTATAGGGCTTCTGATCACTTTGTTTGCTGGTGAAAGTGTTGCTAAATTTGCCTGGAAATCAAAGTCATTAGTTTTTATGATTCCAGAGTGGGGGAATGGGATCCTCTACATGGTCTTTGGCCCCCAGGGATCCCTTTTTCCAGTCCTCTGTCCAGAAAGAGGGGTTTCGCCCAGTATTTTAACTGCCTCTGTTGCTAGTTCACCGTGCAGCTAGCTCCCTGACCCAGACCCATGTTTGGGCCAAAGCCGCAATGGAAAGAAATGAGGAAACACACAAAAAGAATGGGTAACTCACCACCATGTGATTGCTTCTTCAAATGTTTACTCCTTGCCACAGTCCGCTTGCTTTCTTCCTTCTGCCCCCTCCCCTCACACTTTTCAGAGTCTTCAGCTAGTTGGCTTTATATGTTGTCTAGAGTTTTTGGTTATAATCATCTGGGAAGATAGTTTGTAGTGGGCTTTCTCCATCTTGGCCCTGTTTTCTTTATGTTTTACAGGTGGGTTAAAGGGTCTTTGTCTATTTGCTTTTCATTAGAAAAATGTATAATAGTGAAATTTCAGTAGTTCAGATAGCTTAGGGCAAAAAGCACTCTGAATTAAAGCATATAATAAAGAAACTGTTTCTCTGGTTTTCTTTGTTTGGCAATGTTTACCAAAAAGTGTTTTGTAGTTATGAATCTAAAGAATATTCATGTGAAGAGTAATTCCCTTGAAAGAAATCTAGAAGTCCAGCATATCTCCTTAGAAATTAATAGGATACAGGATATAAAGGCCTGAGAAGGCCTACAGGAAAGACGCCTAGTGTTTCCCAACTTCCACAATATATTTGACCACACAAATCTGTCTTTATGTAATACTTATTGATTGCCCTACCTGTGGCTACAGGTCCTCTCTGGAAAGAGTGACATGTGTTACCATTTAGTTTTGGCAGTTCTCCTTTAAGGAATCGATAAGAATGGTTTATACGGACCTTGTCAGAGCATAAGCTGGCCATGAGCTTGCATTTCATTTACACTGGATGTGTTTCTAAAGAATTCTCTTAGCAGAGGCACACCCACGTTTAAATTAAGCTTGCATTTGATTTATAAGACACAGAACATAGAGCAGAAATGCACTTGAGAGAGATCACCCAGATCTCTAGATCCAGCCTTCATTCCAGTGGTTGGAAACCTTCTGTACTTTATTCTGCATTAGTCGTTGATCAGTAGTTGGTTTTTCAGAGTCACTGCTTCTACTAGGTCAGAAATTAAAAGCAAGCCTTGCTATTTTATAGAAAGTCACTTGGTATAACACTCGCAACATCCTGGCCATTTGCAGTAATCGATAGGGACACTGCAAAGTGTCATGCTGTTTTACAGGGGAGAAGCGAAGACATAGAATCTTTTTTTTTTTTTAATTATTCAAAAGAAGCGAGAAAAAGAACATTCAGAGTACAAAACCAGCTATTATTAACATTTTACTTCTTTTCATCTGTTTTTTAATTTTTTTTAGAATATACAGAGTGGTTATGTCATTATGGACAACTTTTATAATGATTTTCAAAAAACACAACTTTAATAAAGTATTATATTTTTTCATGAAACACTTCAACGTTGACATTGAAATTTTTCTGAAATGTTGAACATTTTTGTAAACTTAATGGGTTAAAGAGGTATGCATTTTTAAAGGCTCTTCATAGATATTGTTACATTTTTTTTTCCAGAGGGTGAGCTAACTTTTTTTTTAAATCCTCACCCAAAGATGATTTTCCATTTAACTTCAGACAGAGTGGGAGGAGGGAGGGGGAGGGAAGGAGAGAGGGAGGAAGAGAGAGAGGAGGGGGGCATTGGTGTGAGAGAGACACAACGATTGGTTGCCCTTCCACAAGACCTCTAGCAGGGCCAGGGACTGAACCGCAACCGAGGTACGTGCCCTTGACCGGAATCAAACCTGTGACTCTTTGGTCCAAGGACCGACACTCCGACCGCTGAACCAAACCAGCCAGGGTTCACAGAGTTTATATTAAAATTACCTTATAAGATTGTATGAGTCCAGTAAACAAAATAGTTTATCTATTCTGAAAGTTACTCAATGTTTGCCTCTTCCCTTCCTGTCATTTCCCACCTGTGTGATGTTTAACTCCATTATTGACTGTAACAGGTTTGTTTTATTTTATGATTCAGAAAATAAGGTGAGACAGAAACATTGATCTTATCTTATCTCAATAGATTTGGGACAAAACCAGCCTGGAATGTTTGAAAGTGTTGACAGGGCACACGGGCTCCGTCCTTTGTCTCCAGTATGATGAACGTGTCATTGTGACCGGCTCCTCAGACTCTACAGTGAGGTGAGTGACTGGCTTCAGTGGTCTTGGCTTGTGTTCCTTCCATGGGGAGCCTGAGAGGCACACCCTTCCCTGTGTATATTTTTGTGTGCTCTGTTTCAGAACCCCTTCGGTGTGGGTGTGGTGCATTTTGTTAAGTAGGTCCTGTTCCCATTGCCATTCTGTATAGACATGGCACCATGCTTTCCTACAGAAGCACAATGCCTGGACGGGCTGGCTCCCTCCCTGGGGAGACTGCTGCAGAGCAGAGAGGACGGGGCAGGAGTCCGAGTGGGCTCTGGTGGGCAGTAACCTGCAGACACTGAAAGAATGAGGAGCGGTTGTGTGTGGAACCTTCTGAGGGACACAGAGTGCTAGATGTTCTGTAGAATGTTATCCTATTGAATTCTCACATCAGCCTTTCCAGTAGGTAGATATTGTTGTCTTTTTTTATAGATGTGTAAGGAAACTGGGATCAGAGAGGTTAAATAATTTGCTCAGAGTCACAGAGTTAATTTGAACTTTGAATTATATCATTGTAAGACTGTCTCCATATTGTATAGCCTTCCAGTAATGGAGACACTGGTGTTCAGATGCCACCCCCGGGACAGAGGGACAGAGCTGGAAACGGTAGTTCCCTAGCAGCAGGGGAGTGCTGCCTGCTGGTTGGAAGTTGGGAGAGTAGAAAGGACACATTGTTGGGATCCACTCCTACACCACAGAGACAAGGACATTTCCCGCACCAGGCGGCGTGGCTTTAGGTGTGGTGAGGAGCTCATCAGAGCCTGGGGATCTTGCTGTGAAGCCGCACTCAGCTGGACTGCTGGGGTTTGGGAGGCACGTCCTCCAGACCATGTCCTAGGGCGGGTCAGAGACTGGAAGAGGATGTTTCACAGTGACGGCCACGGGACTGGAATAGTCACCAGCATGCCTAGCGTCCTTTCCCGGGCCCGGTGCTTCCAGGCCAATGCTTCTGCCATAGATCACGTCTCAGCCTGAGAAGCCTGGGTCTTTCCTCCTCTGCTCTGCATCAGCTTGACCTCTTGGGAGACTGGACTTACGGAAAAGCTATGACATGAAAGGCTGCCCCTGAGCACCCCACATCTCAAGGGTGAACCAATCGGGAGACCCTGGCTTTGTCCATAAAGCCATTAGGTGACTAGATGGGTGTGGGGATTGGTAAGACTTCATTACTTACGGTCCATAGATTCAGAGGCCTGTCAAAGGTCGAAAAGAACCTTAGCCCTGGCCGGTTTGGCTCAGCGGTAGTGCATCAGCCCGCAGACCAATGAGTCGGGATTCGATTCGGGCCAAGGGCTCGTACCTCGGTTGTGGTTCGTCTGCCACCATGGTCGGGTCGTGCGGGAGGCAGCCAGTCGATGTGTCCCTCTCACATCAATGTTTCTCTCGCCCTCCCTTTCTCTCCCTCTCTCACCCCCCCCCCCCCATCTGAAGATAAATAGAAAAATATCCTTGGGTGAGGATTAAAAAAGTAGAAGAAGAAACTTAAGCTCAGAACTGTCCTCAGTTCTCCGCCACCAAGCCTCCTTCCCCATCATCTCAAACTCACTTCAAAGCCCACGTACTTGAAGAATCATTAAAAAAAAATTTTTTTTCCTTCATTGGTTTTAAGAGAGAAGTAAGAGGGAGGGAGAGATAGAAACATCGATGAGAGAACATCAATTGGCCTGCATGCCACCCACTGGGGATTGGTCCCACAACCTGGGCATGTGCCCTGAACCAGGAATCGAACTGGAAATGGGTTGACATTCAACCACTGAGCCACACTAGCTGGGCTCTTGTTTTTTTTGTTGTTGTGTTGTTTTTTTAACCATCAACAGAATCCTGTTCTCACGATCCATGAGCACCTGACTGTTAAATAAACCTACACCCGGGCGGAGCCAGACTTGGCCTTCTTGTTTTTGAAACACTCCTCAGCAAATAGAGAAGTTGCTCCTTTGAAGCTGTACTTGGTGTCAGGTCCATTCACCAAATACAAGTCAAGTCCACACCTTCTCGGCCTACTACTAAGAACGGGCCCAGAGTACAGCTGCCATGACCTTTTCCTGCTTGTCTCCATGATGAAGCATTGTGCTCTTCTCTTCTCATCTAGAGTCTGGGATGTGAACACGGGCGAGGTTCTGAACACGCTAATCCACCACAACGAGGCTGTACTGCACTTACGCTTCAGCAACGGGCTGATGGTGACCTGCTCCAAGGACCGCTCCATCGCTGTGTGGGACATGGCTTCCGCCACCGATATCACTTTACGCCGTGTCCTGGTTGGCCACCGTGCTGCTGTCAATGTAGTAGACTTTGATGATAAGTACATCGTGTCTGCCTCTGGTGACAGAACCATTAAAGTAAGTGTGTCTTCTTTCTTCTGTCCCTTTTAGAATGGAGAGAAAGCAGAAATGGCTTATACCAGCCTGCTACTTCTCAAGGCCTTTACTCCTTCATTTGTGCTTATGAGCCCTGGAAGCCAGCCCATTCATTCCACATGCTGCAAAAGTTAGAGGCAAGGGAGAAGGATAGGGTCATGGGACAGGACAGAGAGCAGTCCTCTGTCTCATGGAATGACATTGTCGATGACCTTTGTGAGGGGAAGAGAATTAACCTATTGAACATGTCCCGTGTGCTCGGGGCTTATACATTCCCACCTCGCGCTCCCCTCAGGCACTCTGTTGAGTAGGTATCGCCTCCATTATACACATATGGCTCAGAGAGTGAAGAACTGCACCGGAGCCCACACAGCTAGCTAGTGGCAGAGCTGAGATTTGATTTATGCACTGAATTTTGAGAGCCTGTCATGCCACAGACCCTGGGCTGGATGCTAGAGATGTGATGAGGAACAGCACATGTCCCTGTCTTCAAGAAGCTTAGCATGGGGGCCGCAGGCGTGTGACAAACAGTTGTAGTCCATGGAGATCCAAGAATATGGCGGATGCACTTCTGATTCCAGTAGCCGTTTAATTTTTAAAATTTTTGCTTTATGTTTTCTTAACAGCTTTATTAAAACCCAATTTACCTACCATAAGATTCATCATTGTAAAGCACACAGTTCATTGGCCTTTAGTCTATTCATGATGTTGTGTAACATTAATTAGTTTCAGAACATTTCCACTCACCCTCACAAAAAGTCTCATACCCATTGGTAGTCACCCCCTATTTTCTTCCCCTAGTTCCTGGCAATCACTGGTCTACTTTCTGTCTGTGGATTTGCCTCTTTTGGACATTTCATATAAATGGGAATCATACAATATATGCTGTTTTTTGTCTGGCTTCTTTCACTTAGTGTATTGTTTTCAAGGTCCGTCCATGGACATTGTAGCACGTAACAGTATTTCATTTCTTCTAATGATTGAATAAAACTTCATTGGGTAGATGTACCACATTTTGTTTATCCATTCATCAGTTGATGGACATTTTGGTTGTTAATACTTTTTATCTATTATGAATAATGCTGCCATAAACATTTGTGTGGGTGTATATTTTCAGTTTCCTTGAGATGGTAACTCTGTTTAACATTTTCTAAAGTGGCTACACCATTTACAATCCCACCAGCATTGTATGAACATTTGAACGTGGCTCAAAAGACCTTTTCATGACCTGCACTAGACAGCAAGCACTCTGGTGTCACCCCACAGATCACAGACTAGGTTGCATCACGCTTTAGATTGGGCGGTCTGGAAGCTGCACCGCTAGGACTTGTATGAGGCAATTCATTCACCGCTCAGCCACACCAGTTAGTACAAGACCAGGGCCTGAAGTTAAGAGGGATTGGGGCATATCCTTTTCTATACTTGTTATTGTCTGTCTTTCTTATTGTACTTATCCCAGTGAGTGTGTGGTAGTATCTCTGCTAATTTTGTTTGCCATTTCCCTAATGACTAATAATGTTGAGCATCTTTTCATGTGCTTTTTGGCCATTTTTATGTCTTTGGAGGAACATCTATTTAAATCTTTTGCCCATTTAGTAAATTGGATTATTTGTCTTTTTATTGTTCCGTTGCAATTTTATATATTCTGATAATAAGGTCCTTAGGTAAATGTTTGCAAATATTTTCTTTAATCTTATGGTTGTGTTTTCACTTTGCCTTTTTAAAAATGTTTTTACTTTCTTGATAGTTTTCTTTGAAACACAGAACAATTTTAATTTTGATGAAGTTCATCTTGTCAATTTTTTTCTTTTGTTGCTTGTGTTGCCATATCTAAGAATCAGTTTTCTAATTCAGTGTCACAAAGATATACTCCTGTATTTTCTTCTAAGAGCTTTATAGTTTCATTTTGGTCTTTGATCCATTTTGAATTAAAATTCTATATATAGTGTGAGGTAGGGGTTCAGTTCATTCTTTGCATGTGGAGATCTAGTCACCCCATTCCGCTCCAGTGCATCTGGGAAAACAATTCAGGCTCTTTGTTTGCTTGGCCTCTCCTTATTTGGCTGGTAATTTATTGTGTGTCTATGAACACCTAAGTCTTGCAGATGGTTTCACAAAAGATGGATTATTTATTCTACATTCATAATATTAGGAGTGATGTGTCAAAACAAATAGAGCTGTTCAAGAAACGGTGCTGAAAGAGGAGGGTGTGGAAGGTGAAGCTGCTCACGTCAGTTACCTTGGGTTTGACATGTCAGCTGGTATAGAACACAAAACCTGGCCGGGCTCTTCCCTCTGGGCACCTGCCTGTCTGAACCATCCAGGAGATGTTCTCTGTGTGAAGATCTCAAGGTTTGGAGACTTCACAACCTCCCTCTGTATTTCATTCCACTTTTATCAGCAGCCAAGAGAATTTTATTCTGTCTAATCTGTCCCCCAGCCTCCCAACCGTATTTCATAATCAAGTATTTTGATTTTTCCTAGAAGCTCTGGCTTTTTTAAAAAAAGGGTATACTGTGAGGAGACTTTTCTGCATCCATTCTTAAGTATACTGGTGGTTTGTTACAGGTCTGGAGCACGAGTACCTGTGAATTTGTTCGTACCCTGAATGGGCACAAGCGAGGCATTGCCTGTCTCCAGTACAGGGACCGGCTGGTTGTTAGTGGATCATCAGATAATACCATCAGGTGGGTAGCCGCTGGGTGCCGGCAGCGCAGGCTGGTTGGGTTTTGCCATGGTGTTGACTCATCTCCTAGTCCAAAGCTCAGAAGACACAGAGCCTTTGGGGATGCTTCAGATGAGAAAACTTTGGGTAACGTTGTTATTAGCCTGTTTGGCTCTGCATACTAGAGTGGGTAAACTAGGTTCTTCCAAGATTGGCCCAGTATACAAGGTGTTATGACGTCAGCTCTACCCAAGATCACTTAATACCAGAATGCCTCAGAACAGAGTGTGCTCCATCCAACCTGGCTCTGCTTGCCCTTACTCTGAGCTCCTGCCTCCTGCCTGCCTCCCTGACACATGGCCGGGACCTTGTCTGGCTCTCCCAGGACTGCGCTACAGAATCAAACCCTCCTGTTTGGCCATCTATTTCATTTCCTGTTTTCTTCCCAACACTCATTGTCCTTGCTTTCTAATAAATATGACCATCCTTAAACACTTGGTATCTTATTAGAGCTTGCCTTAAATATCTATTTTTTAAGTATCCCAAGTCATTTTTCCCATCCCAGTATATGCTAATTGCTTTTTAAATTACCAAATTGCCTAATGTTTGGGCAAAATAAAGGTTGGGCTCAAGATTATTTGAGAAAGGGAGGGAGAGGTGGGTTCTAACTGCTATAAGTTTTCTTTTAAGTTTTAAGATACCATAAAAGTCACTTTAGTACTTGAATCTTGGTTCTATTGTATTCATCGTGCTTTGTATTACTCAGTATTTCAGCAATAAACAACCGTTAACTTCCTCATGGGAATCAGGTTTTACAGAATAGCAGTGTGCATTGCTCTGCGGTTCATGCAAGGGAACCACTTTGGAGTTGGTGGCAGTGTTCAGCGGCTGTTCGCAGTAGGTTAGAGAAGCCATTGTCACGGACACTGGTGGAAGTGGGCCGAGGTGGCTGTGGGGGAACGTTCACTGGATATAGCACAGGAGCTACTGGTGAGGGGACCAAGAAAAGTTCACTGTAGAATTAGTTTGCTAACTCTGTTTTGTACATATTACATTGCTGTGGTTTCTTTTTGCAAATAATGTAGATAATAGAAACATTTTATTTCCAGAATTGTTATATAAATCATATAGAAAAAAGGCTTGCTGTGTATATTTATATACTGAGTTTATATTGCCAAAACACTGCCTGTAGCTAATGAGTCTCCCACTTTGACTTTGCAGTCTGGACAGCCCCCCGTATGCAGTATATATCTAAGAAGGGGTGTCCGAGCCTCATCAGGAGATGGAGGCCACCATGCTGGTTCTAACCTCAGTGGGCCTCATGGACTCCAGGCTAGAGGTGCCTGGGGTGAAATTCTCTTATTTGTTTAGTAATACACACATGTGATTTTTAAGTTTTAAACTGTGTAAAAGGAAATATAATGAAAAGTAAGGCTTCCTCCCAAGTTAGTGCTTAAAAACACACAAATGGTGTAAGTGTACATTTATATGTGTGTAGTGTGGACTGGGAGTGAGATAGAAATAAAGAATTGCAGAATCGGGAAAGTCACACATGGGCAGATAGGAAGAACGTGCGGGCCGTGTGACCACGTGCGCGGAGGTGTTTCACAGAGACCTGTTTTCCGTCCAGGCTATGGGACATTGAGTGTGGCGCCTGTTTAAGAGTCCTAGAGGGACACGAAGAACTGGTGCGATGTATCCGGTTTGACAACAAGAGGATCGTCAGTGGGGCCTATGACGGGTGTGTATTTCACTACATCAAGGGGGAAAGGACTGTGTGCCACACAGCGATATCTGTGCCAGGTCCCGTGCTAGGCCGTTTCTATGTATTGATGGATGGCAGGTGTTACTGCACCGCTTGATCAAATGAGGGCTCTCAGGCCCCAGATCCCACAGGAGCAGAGCCTCCGTGGCTCCCCAACGCACGCCCTTAACCATGACTGTAAACTCAGGAAGTAACTTAGGTTGTGCAGGAATTCAGTTCTTTGCCTCGGCCCTTAAACCAGGCATGGGTTATTACTATTAATATATTTTTTCCCCAGTTCAATGATAAATTTCTTTTTCCCTTTTGGTGAATTGAACAAATCCTGTTTTAAAAGCCTCAACTTTTTAAATGAGCAAATGGCAGCTGTAAACCTTTCAAGATGACTTCACAAATGGGTTAGTTGGTCTGTTTACACTCCTGTTACCAACTTGCAGCATTTGCCTCATTGGGACAAAGGTATCTTTGGAATTTCACAGAGAGCCCTTGCTTATGTCAGCAGCACCTACTCAGCCTAAGAGTGCCCCCTGAGTAATGAATTCGGTGACATAGATGGTCAAGTCAGGAATTGAATTTAGATAACTTGAGGGGTTTTTTTTTTTTTTTTTTGTCTCCCTTAAAATAATACTTCTTCACAATTTCAGCAAGTCTGAGAACGTAGGTTCCCATTGTTTCCAAAATCAAGTGTAATTGGTGTAAACAACTCGCAAGAACATAAGCATGCTGCACAGTCACCTGTACAGTGGGCAGTCCCAGCGCTCCTTGTTGTCAAGGAGACTCGGCAGTATGTAAAATGTTAGCGTTTCCACTCAACGCAATCTTACTTCCTTTCCAGGAAAATTAAAGTTTGGGACTTGCAAGCTGCTCTCGACCCTCGAGCCCCAGCAAGCACGTTGTGCCTGCGCACATTGGTGGTACGTGGCCTGTTGAAACGGGAAGTGTCCCTATGCTGGGGGGTGGCCACCTGCAGAAGAGCCGATGCTGTATCACTAGAAAGCGGGTGTCTTCAGAGAAATGCACTGTTCTTTTCATTTTGTCCAGTCAGAGTCAGTGGCTTTGACATTCCCATTACAGTGAGCTCTTCCCTAAGGAGCATTATTACCACAACATGCAGTATGAAAGCAGGCTTCCCCGTTTATAGGTGGACTGATTCCCTCGTAGAGCAAAACGTATTTCCTTCCTGGAGGTTTGGGGGAGTTATTAATGTGGGTATCTGGTTAGGTTACACTTTTATAAGAGCACATTTTTGTACTATTATGATGAAATTCCCCCTCAGTCTGTATTCTCTGGATTATTGCTTTGACATATAGGAGTACTTTATTTTCATATGTTAATCTTGTTTTTGCAACTTTTCCAAGTACATTATATCTCACAGTCTGCTAGCTTTTGTGTACTTTTGAAGACATAGTTACTTGCAAAGATTGATAGATTTTTCTTATTTTCAATAGTTTTACCTTTTATTTCTGTCTCTTCACTTCTTACACTGACTAGAACATGCAGAACTATAGTTAGGGCCATTCTTTTCTTCTAGATTTTAATGGGAATGAGAAATGTCTCATCATTAGTTTTGATGTTGGCTGTGGTTTGAGATAATCTTGGTCACGTTCGAAACACTCCCGGTTCTAGTTTTTACAGTGTATCGAGAACGGGTATTAAATACTATTGCTTACCTTTCTAAGACCCTTTGCGGTACGATCACGTAGTTTCCCTTTGACATATTAATGGGCCAGGATCTAGGATACAAAGTTTGATTAAGGAAAAGGCCCAGGAGGAAAGCAGAGTATCTGTTCCTGGGGTGAAGGGCTAGGCTCAATGAGCCCTGGGAATTTGATCAGGAAGCCTGGATGAGTGGCTGCATTCCCACCTGTGCCAAATCCCTGCCGGTGGGGTGTGAGGGACTGCAGAGGTCTCGTTTCCTTCATCACGTGTTCTGTTCCACAGGAACATTCGGGACGTGTGTTTCGGCTACAGTTTGATGAATTTCAGATCATCAGCAGCTCTCACGATGACACTATTTTGATTTGGGATTTCTTAAATGTGCCTCCCAGTGCCCAGAATGAGACCCGTTCTCCCTCCAGAACATACACTTACATCTCCAGATAACAGTCTGCACTTTGCCCGTGTCAGGTGAGTACCGCACATTTGTCATTCTGCTGACTGATCCACCATCCTGGGGGGGATTGTGTGGTTTGGGTTCCTTTCTGTGATAGGAATGAGGTGGTCAGTCTTTATGAGAGGTCTCAACTTCACAGAGTGAAGTACAAGGCTCGAGCTTTCTGGCCTCATGGAAATGAGGTCTAAATTGGAATGCTGCATATTGTTGGTTTTCATATTGGCAGACAGCTTAGTTTCTGTTTTAAAATTTGTTTTTCTATTGTTTATAAGCAACAGCATAAATTAATTTCATATATAATATTGAGTGAAAGAAGCCAGAGACAAAATATAAAATAAAAACTGTTTTTCTAAATGGTTTTCCCTGTCATACCAATTTTACACCAGTAAAGTCCTCTGTGTTGGGGTGTAAGAATCTCCTTTTTTCTTTCTTTTCTGTCCTTCGGTTCTATCTTTTATTTTTTTTAAAAAAATCACCATCAACCAACATTCAAAATTGCCTCCTTCCCCATCACAACCCTTCCCTAGAAGAGGACTCAAGAAGGGTGCTTGTCGAGAGAGCTCACTCTCTCCTCATCCTGGGACGGCAGATGCTCTGGAAGCGAAGTCCTTGGCGCGGTCTGCAGGAGGCCGAGCGCCGGCAGCCGGCAGTGTGGCAGGTTGTGTTGATAACCGGGGGCTGGTCTCGACACTGACACGCCGTGCTTGGCTGTGGCCCAGGCACGGCGACCCTGTTCATCCCGAGTGTCTTCCCAACTCTGAGCGCTTTGCAAGTGCGCGGTGAATTCTGTGCACACCAAACCTTGTAGGTTAATAAGTAGTTTTGTCCCTATTTGTTCTATGTATATATGTATGCAAAGGCTGCTTAATGAAAGTTATTTTTATTTAAAAGCATTACTTAATGCTCAGTAGCTTTTTATCATTATATGTTTTCCTGTTCATTGACTTTAAAATGTAAAGAAAGTCAAAGTGCAGAATTGTGACTTTTTTTAATGAAAAGGCCAGGAACCACTGCCTGATATTTCTCCCCCACCGCAGCATACTAAGAATAGTTTTTACACTTTTAAATACTTGGAAAAAAATTAAAAGAATACTATTTCCTGACACATGAAAATTATATGAAATTCAAATACCAGTGTCCATAAATAAAGTTTGATTGGAACACAGCTACGCTCATTTGTTCATGTACTGTCTGTGGCTGTTTTCATGCATCAGGCGCAGAGTACTGTGACAGAGACCATGTGACCTGGACCATCTTTCCTTTACGGAGAAATTTGCTGACCTTGGGTCTTGCCCTTGTTCTATCTGTTAGTGATAAACCAAGGGTCTGCAACAGGAATGGCAAACTAGCTTTTCCTTCATGCCAACTCTGTTTGATCAGTAGTGACTGGCTGGAGTGCTGCCTTTGGAAAGATTCTGGGACCCTATGTGGACCCATAATGACCCAGAACCATGATGTCTACCTGGGTGTGGGAGGTAAGCCACAGTAGTGACCCATAAGTCACTTAAACCATTGCTGTTCCTGGTCTCTCGTGTATTCATGCTGTCTCTTATGATAGTGGCCCTTTCCCTTGCTGCTGTCGCTCTGGATAGGTTCTTAATCACCTGAAAACCCATATGGCAAGACTTTTACTTATTGAATGTAGTCTTAAAGTAGACATGATAGGCCCTGGCCAGTTTGTGCTCAGTGGTTAGAGCATCAGCCTGTGGACCAAGGACTCTCAGGTTCGATTCCCAGCCAAGGGCATGTACCTGGGTTGCAGGTTTGTCCCTGGCCCTGGTCAGGGTCATGTGTGAGGCAACCAATTGATGTCTTTCTCTCTCTCTCTCTCTCCCTCCCTCCCTCCCTCCCTCCCACTTTATCTCAAAAAAAAAAAAAAAAAAATCAATGGAAAAATGTCTTCCAATGAGGATTAACAAAAAAATAGACATGGTAGGGAATTACAGAGGAAGAGGGCAAGACTCTTGAATGGTTGCTCCTCTGTCTGAATCTCCCCCAAAAGCCCAGGACAATATAGGGAAGGAGGAACGGACCCAAGTGAAAACTGGTTTCCCATCTGGGGTCTTCGCCCTGCCTCGCCATCCTCTGCTTCACTGCTCCCTGTTAACTTCAGACCAAGGTTTAACCACACACAGCCCACAGGAGTTCCAGCATCTGGTGGTTTCCTTCTGCCCTTCTCCCACCCCAGCCCCGGTGCCATTACTCCCTCCTGGTGTCCAGTGCTCCAGCCAGACTGAATTCTGTGGGGTTCTCTCGTTAGTTTAGTAGAGCAGACCTCCACCACCCCTCTCCCCTTGCTGTGTCACTCCAGCTGTGTAGACTTCTGACTTCCTTAGTGATGGTGCTGAAGTGGTTGCAGGCCGGTCTCCCTCCCAGGCTGTGAGCCCAGTGTCCGGTGGAGTGCCTAGTGTGCTCTAAGTGCTGTGATGTTTGGTGGGCAACTCACACCCAGGGCCAATCAGGGCACGTATTTGTGCCTTTTTTTTTCCCCTAGGCCACACAGGAGTTTGTCCATAAATAAGCGTGTGAAACTTCGGTGCATTCATGTAGTTGATCGGCAAACATAAAGATAACTCAGTAAAAAGTTGGGACATGTCCAAACTGGCTGAGTCAGCTATATATGCATACCCTCCTTACCTGGACAGGTACCTAAGTGTGCACATCCCTTGCCCTGCCTCTTTCCCCTTCGCTGTGCCTCTCGGCGGTTTGTAATCAATTTTACGGAGGGACAATTTGTGTAAAATAGATTGTACCCATTTAAAGTGGTCTGTTTGACAAGATTTACAAATGTATGCATTTCTGCAGCTACCTCCACAGTCCAGATAAAAACACTTCTGTCCCCACCTGTGTCACCTCTGTGGTCAAAGCCCCCCCCCCCGACCCAGCCTCAGCCAATGCTGACCTGCGCTGTCACTGCCGCCGGTGGTGGCCGAGCTCGAGATGTAGCCAGTGTGACTGAGGAGCTGACTTTTTAATTATATTTTAATTGGATTTTAAATTATATTTCATTATACTCTATTTAAACCTATATTCAAATAGTTACATGTAGCAAGTGACTGTTTTTGGACCAGTGTAGCTTTAGAAGGTTTCTATTTAGGTCTTTGCTGCATTCGGAGCTGATGTTCGCAGGGCGTGAGGAGCAGGCTTTGTTCTTGCTCAGCTCATGCAGCAGCTGTCCCAGCACTGTCTGATGACAAGACGGCCTCTTCCCGTGGAGTTGCTTTGGCGCTTCGGTCGAAAAGCCAGTTCACCACTTGTACTCCTGGTTCTGGACTCGGTTCTGTTGTGCGGCTCTGCGGCTCTCCTTTGGCCAGCGCCATATTATATAATATGTCTTCCAGCTTTAAAAACTGTTTCTAACTATTCTGGGCCCTTTACGTTTTCAGTTGTGAATTAGATTGTCAAATTCTATGAAGATGGCTGCTGGGGTTATGATTAGGACTGCGTTAAATCTAAAGGTCATTTGGGGGAGAATTCTCATAGTAATACTTGAGTTTTCCAGTCCATAAACATGTTTATCTCTATTATTTAGGTCTTCTTCTGTGTCTCTGAAGCAGTGTTTTACAGTTTTGGTGTGTGTGTGTGTGTGTCTTAAGTCTTGCAGACGACTTTTGTTAAATTTATTCCATTCTTAATTTTTTCTTTTATCAGCTATACATTTCCCTCCATGCATCGCTTGTTCTCCACATAAGAGAAGCACAAAAGAGAACATGGCCAGTTGTAGCTGTAGCTGAGCTTTTGCAATGGGTAGGCTCAGGGGGACAGGTGTCATAGAACAGCCTCAGTGTACCTCTGGTGTATCTGGGATGTGTGTTAAAAGAGGCACACGAGCCCTGGCCGGTTTGGCTCAGCGGTTAGAGCGTCGGCCTGTGGTCCAGAGAGACCTGGGTTCGGTTCCTGCTAAGGGCACGTACCTCAATTGCAGTTTGTCCCCGGCCCTGGTTGGGTCATGTGGGTGGCAACCAGTCAATGTGTCCCTTTCACGTCGATGTTTCTCTCTCTTCCTCCATCTTTCCCTTCCACTGTCTGAACATAAATGCAAAAATGTCCTTGGGGAGGACAAAAAACAACAACAAAAGAGGCACATGATAAAATTCAAGACATCCCTAGTATTTCCCCCACCCCTTCCATAGATGAATTGTAGAACATAGTAAACATTTGTAAGTTGGACAATTTTTTTTTTTTTTGGTGGTACGTGCCCCTCGCGGGAACCGAACCCAGGAGTCTCTGGTCCGCAGGCCAATGCTCAACCGCTGAGCCAAACTGGCCAGGGCAAGTTGGAAAACTTTTATATATCACATAAAAGTGACAGATTCCTTTGGTTGAAGGATGAAATAATAACCAGCAAGCGCTCTTCCTCCCGTTGCCGTGGAGGAAAGGAAACGGTGGTGTCACTTCTCCCAGACCTTCCAGGGGACCTTCGAGCAACTGCCTTGTTATGACCCACAATGATAAATCAGTGGGAAAATCTTATCTGCGTTTTAAGCAGCACAAGCAGTGAAACCTCAAGTGTGTTTGTCTCTTCAAAGTGAATTACTTTTGACAACCTTGGCAGTCAACTTCATGGTTTTTATTGCTCTTTTCCAAATTCTTTTCATTATTGTAACATGAAAAAAATTATTACCATGTGATACTGTAAGATTTATGCATAATAAGAAACACTACCCTAATGATGATTTAACCTTGCAGTAAAATATTCACCCCTAAAATATTAGGTAAGAGTATTTCTATGTCAGGAAACCTAGCAATAGATTTATTTGCCGACTCATTTTTTAAAATTACTAGCTCCTAAGAGCTATAGGTGTATTAGTTCTCGTTTCTCTTATAACAAGACAATATAAGATGATTTTAGAAATTATGAAAAAAAAACAGAAACCAAAAGAAGAAAATAAAATCCTATTTGTGATTCACTGTCATGAACTCCTCTGTATATATCCTTTCAGGCTTTTGCAAATATGGTTGATAACCTTACATTTTTAAATGCTCTTTTCCACTTTGTTGTGAAATTGTCACATAATAACATCAGTGTTTGCCTAAATTATCATTCTTTTTTTTTCCATCATTGATTTTAGAGAGAGAGGAAAGGAGAGGGAGAGATAGAAACATCGATGAGAGAGAACATCGATTGGCCGCCTCCTGCATGCCCCCACTGGGGATCAGGCCCACAACCTGGGCATGTGTCCTGACCGGGAATCAAGCGTGACCTCTTGGTGCCTGGGTTCACGCTCAACCACTGAGCCACACTGGTTGGACTAAATTATCGTTCTTTTTTTTTAATCCTCACCTGAGGACATTTTTCCATTTTTTGTTCAGATAGAGTGGGAGGGAGAGAGAGAGAGAAACATCGATGTGAAAGGGACACATCAAGTGGCTGCCACCCACACGACCCAACCAGGGCCAGGGCAAACTGCAACCGAGATACGTGCCCTTAGCAGGAACCGAACCCGGGTCTCTCGGGACCGCAGGCTGATGCTCTAACCGCTGAGCCAAACCAGCCAGGGCGAGGAACTGTATTAAAGGGTTGCGGCATTAAGAAGGTTGAGAACCACTGGTCTAGAGTGTCTGGGTTGAAATGTATGACATTTAAAGACTTATACACACAGTCGTGTTGCCCTCCAGAAGAGTTAAATCAGTGTACATCCCAACCAGCCGCGTCTGAGAGGGCCTACTTCTTATCTCTGTGTGTTCATGTAAAAGGAACCCACATGCTCTTCAATCTCTTCATTGGAAAATGAAATTGAATCTTTCTCGAACTCATTGAGAAAGCTTATTTGAATTCTTGATCTTTATGAAATTGAGAACCCTTTAGGAAAGTTTCCTTTAAAAAAGCAGACAAGCTAAACCCAACCCTTTTTCCTCTCCCCTTCACCTCTTCTTCTTCCTTCCGCTTCCCCAGTAGAATTTTAGACCTTAAGGTGACTTTTAGATCTTCGAGACCAGTGGTTTAGTGCAGTGTTTGGAAAGGGTTGTGACGCATTAGTGATTGTGAAATCATTTCAGTGGAATTTGACTTTGATGAAATTCTGAATAGAACATGTCAGCCTGCATTGAATGTAGTAATGATAAGCCTTGTTTCATGAATGTTCTGCTTAGGGGTGTGTGGGTAGGTGTGTATTACATTTGTATACATGGATGAATGTAGAAATTATGGTTGAAATGTGTACCTGACTCAAAGTCTGTGGTCAAAAAAAATGTGGACCATATGATAATCTTTTCCTCTACACTGTTGGCCTTCTTTTAATGATTTATTTCACAAAGAAGTAGGTTCCAATGATTAGCATTTTGTTTAGAACGGTTACTTTCTTTACTAGCTTTGCATATTCTTGTTTCACAATGATAGATAGCCAGGCCCCTGTAGGTTCTGGATGTCATGGAAGATTTTGCTAAATATAAAATCTGACGTTAAGCATATTTTGTTATAGGCATAATTTTTAGCAGCGGAACTGAAAGATGATCGGTTCTAGGGTCAGGCGTCGCTTTGAATTCCCACTCTCACTTCTTGACTAATGTGCTGAACTGAGCCTTGGTGGTCTGACGTGACGTGGGTATAGATGAATATGATGCCTGGTGTGTAGCACACTCGAAACAGCTTGCAGCTTCTATTTTTGGTGTGGATTGTTTGGAAATCAGTAATTGTTATGCGTGTACAAGTGTGTTTGTGGATGGGCTGTGGGGTATTATCTCCATGTCTGACCAGTATACTGTCCACACTCACTTTGAGTTTTTCTTTTCAGGGTTTCCTATTCTTGAACTACTGGCTACATGGCTACCAAATGCCTGTGGGAGTTCTTCACAGCTGAGCTATGAAGCTGGAATTGGTTCTAGACGCTGGGTAGATGCAAAGCAGCCTAACTCTTCAAGTACCGACATTTCTCACCTCTGATTCCGGCCTCCACTCTGAGAAGGACACTTAGCTGCAGCGACTTCCAGTTGGACCGAAGCCCACACCCTCCCCCACCCGTGAGAAACCCAACGCTTCAGATGTAAACTGTTCATTAAAGGAACACATGGTCTGTTTTCTAGAAGTAAATCGACAGTCAAGAGAAGACTTGGCCTCTAATTTATATCGCTTTGCACTTTGGTCTGATGCTAAGAAACAGCATTCTTTGGTGAAGTTTTGGGTGCCAAACACCTACCCAGAATGTCCAGGGCTTTCCTTTCCAGAAGTTTCCTTTTGACTGTCCACGTCATTCTGAATCCTGACTTGTATTAGGAATATGTTGGACAACGGAAAATTTTATCTGGATTGTTTTAGTAATATTTTTTGAATTATTTCTTTCTGTACCATTTCTCTTAATTTAAAGAACTGTAAGCCAGGTTATATTATCTCCCAACAGGTAATGTAGCTCTTTTCTTTATTAACTGTTCTTTGTACCCCAACTATCTCCTGATATCTGGTGGAGTAACAAACACCTTCACACATGTGCTTGCCTCCTAATTTAAAATACTGTACTCGCATGTAGCTGTAGTGTACATAACAGTCTAACCTCAAGGTTGCTGGAGTCGGGCCCCGTGCCTGAGACACTAATACAGAGTGTGTTCGCACTTAGCCATGGGCTGGGCTCAAGAACCTGACACCAGGGTTGATGTGGATGACCTAGAACCCTTCCTGCAGTATTCATAGGGTGTTTTTATTTTGTCATTGTCGTGTGTGTGTGTGTGCGTGTGTGTGTGTGTGTGTAATGGGAATCTTGTTTTAAAATGGAATTTCTAAAATTTAACACAGAACGTTTTATTTGTTGTGCAGTGTATATAATAGAGAGGTACCGGGAACTTTTGTTCTTTTCCTCTTGAGTACTGGTGGTCCCTCCTGCAGCATTCATTTGACTTCACTGTCAGCCCTGATCCTGTGCGTTGGTCACCCTGGGCGGGGAGAACAAGAAGGCCCCGCTGACTGGCCCTAGAGCACACGCGTCCTGGCCGTGTGTGGGAGCCCGCGTGCCGTGCAGGCTGGTTCCGAGGCCTGTCTTGGGTGGAAGGTACTTCTACGTGGTGCAAAGCCTCAGAGTCATGACTCCCATCCCCGTCATCTCCAGTGTCATTTGCTGCTTGTGGCCCTGGCAGGTTCACGAAGCCCCCGAGTGGGCGGGCGGCTCTGTCATGTGACTGTGCGTGGAAAGGACTTTGGCTCCCGTTGTCACTCCTTTTCCCTTGTTCAAGATTAGGTTTTGATTTGCCCCTAGCCATTGTTTCCAAAGATCAAGGACTGTCAATAACGTTTTAAAGGACCAATGAGAACCTCCTGTTAATGAAACCTCTTCCCGTGGAAGCACACTCTACTACTATGAGAAGGTCCCTGGGCTCGCTTTTGTCTTCGTGCTGGGAACGGCGTGTGGATCAGTGTGTGTGTGATTTGTTTATCAGGTCAGCTTGGCTTCTTCCTTTTTTTAATGCATCTTTTTCTCCTACATCACTAAATTTCTGTTTTTGAGAAATTGAGCCTCAAAGTGTAAAAAAAAAAAAAAATAAGCCTCCATTCATAAGGTAGATATTGTTGTAAGTTTGCAGCGGTTGTGAAAGTGATGTAACTTTTACCACTCTTCATCTTACAGCGTTCCCAGCAGAGGCTGGGAGGGCCCGGGGGGCGGGGCGGGGAGGCGATGCTGAACGAATGGACTTTCTGTTGTTGTTTTTGCATGTTTAATATAAAAGTTCTTGTTCCTTGGGAGATCATGGCCTTTGAATATGCACACAACCTTTGAATTGTGCCTACTAAATTATAGCAGGGGACTTTGGCACCCAAGGAATTCTGACTTTCTGGGATTATAGTAGTAATTCCCAGACGTACTCTGGACTTTATTTTGCTAATACATAATTGAGCAACTGTAAATTACTGCTATATTAATGTTTTAAAGCACTGGGATAGTCTAATTCTAACTTGTAATTAATTATGTTTGCCAATTATCTGTTTGAAATAAATTTGTGTCTGAACAGCTATTGAAACTGTTAAATTGTACAGATATTATTCATGACAGCTTTGTACTGTGGAATGTGCTTAATAAAAAACAAAAAGTTGACCTTTGTCCAATAAATTGCTAAGTAATGTCAATAAATCAAGTATGAGTATTATGCAGTACATCTAATCTGGCTTCGTGCAATTGTTACTTCAGCTACTAACTCAAAGCCAATACTCTTAATAAAGTGTTGCAATACTCTGATGTTCTGTTAAGAAATTTTTCAAAAAAACAAAATAAAACAAAAGCCCTGTCATGTGCTATTAGTAATTCAGTGACATACAATTAAAGTTTATAGATTTAAAAAATCATCTGCTCTGTAAAATGAGGTCGAAAGCAAACTACCTTTGGCCTGTGAGAACTTGGATGACCTCACGCCAGTCCACGCCGTGGGGGCTCTGGTGCTCGGGGCTGGGGCTGGTTCAGAACTCCTCCCAACAAGTCGGCTTCCCTCATGCACTGCCTTGCTTCACGAGTTACTGTGAAAGCAGGAAAGTGGCCCCTGGCGTCCCCAGGGCGGAGCTCTTTCCAAAGAAGGGGGTGGAGGTGTGAGAAGTACCCTGGCAGCCGAACCGGACAACAGCCGGACGACAGCCGTTGGTTCACGTCTGCAGATTCACACGTCGCTACTCGGTACTGATCAGAATACTGCCCTCCGCAGTGTTCTGCTCAGGAAGTCCCGGTACAGCAAGAGTTTCCTGGGTAACGACCCCCTGCCCCATTCGTCAACCGAATTGGTACTGTGGACTTTGAGAATGAAATGAGAGTATTTCTATATAGTATTGCCCCACCCATTAAAAATTTTTTTTAAAATTTATTTTAGAAAGGAAAGGGAGAGAGAAACATCAGTTTGTTGTTCCATTTATTTACGTATTCATTGGTTTTGCTTCGTGTTGGTGCCCTGGCTGGGGATCGAACTGGCAACATTGATGTATTGGGACCACGCTCTAACCAACTGCAACCTGGCTGGGGTCCCACCCATTTTTTTTGTAAAAAATGTTTTGAAAGTATGTAACATGGATATGGTTAAGAAAACCAATTTATAAACCATTAAAAAATAGGTAAAAAGTAATTCTTTTGCCCTTGACCCACAGTTCACAATCAGTGTTAACCAGTTGTTTGCATATCCTACAACGAATAATACTCTGTATAGAAGGTATATAGGTATGTATATGTATTTATAGGCCTATCAGCCCCCCACCACCTTTTAACATACATGCTGTACTGAACCTTGCTTTTTCATCTGATAGTCTTCAGGAAATCATTCCAAGTCAGTACACATAATTCTGCCCCATTCATGTTCACGGCTGCATAGTACTTTATTATAAGGATGCACCATAAATTATTTAGCTAGTTTCCTGAGGGTGGAGAATTAGGTGGTGTCCTGCCTTTTCTTCTTTTTCACAGGTCTGCGTGCTCAGCATAAGTTTGGTGATTTGGGCTAATCCTTCGGGGCATCCGGTGTTCACCATTGCTGCAGGGCGGAGGGCCCTCAGGTGTGGGCTGGGTCTTCACCTCTCCATCATCTCCTACTCCCACATAGTAGGTGTTCAGTAAATACAGCCGTCCCTCGCCACTTCGCGCTTCGACTTTTCGCGGCGTCACTCTGTCGTGGTTTTTTCAAATATATTCATTAAAAAGTTCATCGAGACGGTGAAAATGATACAACATGCGCTCGGTTGTCTGAGTCAATTATACACCCCTGTATGCCGATTAAAATGGCTGTACGTGTGTGGACTGTAGGCCTGTGTATTCGAGCACCCCAGGAATCCTTCAACGCCAGGTGCCACCTCTAGAGTCCGGACCGATGAACCGCGATAACCGAGGGACGACTGTACTAGTTTTCCTCCTCGATACGGGAGGTGTTACTGCAAGGACCATAGCTCTGAATGCATCCCATAATAATGACGGGGGTTCTAAGAGCGGTCTTGTCGAACTTGGATCTACAATCAGAGACCAGCGGTGCTTTGCCATGTGGGCCTATTTGTTTTCCTGTTACTAAGGAGAAAGGAAGTTGGGCCGTCAGGCTGATACTCCTGTTACTAATCAGCTGTGTGGCGATACCCCCTTTTGGGTCCTAGCAGTCCCGTGCACAATCCGGAGGGCACGGGTCCAGCTCTGGGCGAGCCGGTGCCTTGCAGCATTGCAGACCCAGCGATGGCCGGTCTGCGTTTTCAAGAGATGGTGGAGAGTCCCATTATGTAGACACCTCGTTTAGAACAGTTGGGATTTTTTTTCTTTTAAATACATTGCCGGGGCGCCCGTCCGCCATCTCTGGACGGATGCAGTTTCTAGCATTTCTAGCAGTGACGTGCAGCGCTGTGCCGAGCTGGGTGGCTGGACTCTGGAATAAAGGGAGAGACTCCAGAGAAATGGAACAAAGCCTACGCCTTGTGACAGAGTGGCCAGCACACATGAATCACTCAATACACGTTTATGAAAAATGGCCTGCAAGGGGAGGTGTTGGAGAAGACAGGAGGAGGAGGAGTTAAGCGGCGGCTCCCGCCTTCAGGGCCAGACGCCCGCGCTCGTGGGGGGCTTGGTCTCACGTTGAAGCAAGGCAGGGGTGGGGCCCGGGTCTTCGGGCCGGAGAGAACTCTGGGAACTCCAAGACCTCCCAGCTCCACCTTGGTTCTTGCACGAAGCTGGATCTAAAACCTCATAGGTAATCAACGAATGTCTGTAGGATGACAGAGGACGTAACCATCCAGGTGTCTACCTGCCCAAAGATAGGACCATGGACCCCTCACAACAAATGCACGGACCCTAATTCAGTGTCTTTCTCAGAGTAGGTACGTTTATGTTGGGCTGGGAGAACCTGGGAGCGGCAAAGCCGAAGACTTACAGGTGGTGGGCAGGCCTCGGGCACAGCTGAGAGCCGGTGTTCTGATGAGATCTCAGTGAGGACAGCATAAGCTCCCCCAGCCCTTCACCTCCTCTTCAATCCCATGGACCTTTCTGTGTCTCATTCCCAGACACCCCGCAGCGCTAGGGGGTGGGCAGGAACGCGTAGAACAGCGCAGCCTTTGCGTCTTGATGGAGACCTTCCCACAGGGATCCCAGGTGAACTGGATGGTGGAGAGGAAAGGGCGTGGGCGCTGGGGCCCTGACCTCGCTCGGGATGGGGGCTCGGCCATTGCGGCGGCAGGCCCCATGGGCAAGGGAGCTCCCACCCTGAACTGAGCTCCTTCATCTAGGAAGTGGAGAGTGTGTTTTAAGATTGCTGTAGGGACTACGTGACCATCTACAGTGCCCAGCACACAGTAGGCACTTGGTTGCTTCCGATGTGGCATTTAAACAGGTGGAACCGAATATCTGGACCGGGGAAAGTTGTAAGGATCAGAAGGGTCTGGGTGGTGTGGGCTGAGACAGGGTAAACCGACCGTAAACTGTGCTCAGGCAGCCTGAGGTTTGTCTGAACTTCTCCAGGAAACTGACCCTTGGTCCCCAGTGAAGACCTGTCCCACTGAGGACCGAAGTTAGTAACCAGGGCCTGGGCTGTTCAGTGGCTGGGACAGAGGGAGATGAACCTGGTGTTTATACCAAATTATTTTTGTTACTTTGTTATTAAGAATAATTCAGTTTTAAAAGCAGTCTACCGATCTTATCTCCCCGAGGGGTGGGTGTTTCTGGGAAGGGAATGAGACTTCAACACACCATCTGAATTGTAGCATCTCCAAAGCAGATAGATGTTCTTGTCCTCGGCGTGTGTGTAGGTGGGAGGCCCTGGGGGGTGGTGAGCCAGGAAGGGGGCGGTGCCCTCGTCTCCTGCTCCATGGGCACCGCAGGCTCCCCGAGGAGCCAGGCCTCATACTGGACAGTCCCCTTGCGTCCTTTGGTCGTTTATGAGTGTTCCGGGCGTGCCTTCAGCAATGCACAAAGCGAGCAAGCGCTGGCCAGCTCGGTGCCTGGGGCTGCCGGTGTGCCCTGCGGATGGGGGCGTGGGGGTCTGGCCTGGCAGCAGTGAGCAGGTAGGAAGCTAGTGTGCAGATTCAGGAGAGAAAGGCTGAGGTCTGGGAAGGGCCGGACCCCAGGGCGGTTTTGAGGGGTGTTGTGCAGATCGGGCCTGTTCGCGGTGTGTGTGTCCCATGTGCCACTAGGTGGGGCTGTGGTGGGAAGGAGCCCTGCTTTCAGAAAGCTTCCATTCCGAAGAAATCGGTGATACAGGCTGAGCCCAGACACGCAGGAGGTGCAGGATACGCTGAGGTTGTGATCAGAACTGCGAGGGGATGACACCGGGCGGCGGGTCCAGCGGCCTGGGGCCATCTGTGCAGTCCCAGGCCCAGGGGACTGAGGCTCAAAGGCCTTGAGGTGGGAGAGCCCTGGACCAAAGTGGCCAGAGGGGGCTTGGTCCCCAGATAAGGGAAGGAGGGTGGTTGAGGCAGCAGACGGTAACATTGGGATTTGGACGTTGCAGGTGCCGGAGAGACAGACAGCCCGTGGCGCTGACTGTGGCCTGACACTGAGGCGAGGACATCGATGGCATTTAGGAAGGGGGCAGAGAATGACAGCCAGCGACAAAGGTAGGGACATGATAACCCACATTCATGGCACTCGCGGAACTCGGAAAACAATCTTTTCCAAACACTGCGCCCCAGCTGCCGGAGCCTCCAGGGGAACAATGCCGGCTGCAGGACACCTCGCCTGCGCCCATCCCGCCCACCGCACCCCCCTGCCCCTCGGCCTGGGCGCGCTCCCTGCAGCCCATCTGCACAAACAGACCGGGGCCAGGTCTGCGCCTCAGGAATGAGGAGATAAAAGGGACCATCGGGGCTTTTTCCACCAAAGGTGAAAGCATTTTATAGAACGGGCTGTGAGTTTTTGTTTCAGGAAATTTCATCATGTCTCCAAGAAGGGGAGGGGAAGCTGAGAGGGGGTGGGGGAGAGAGGGAGAGAGCGCAGGGTAATTGGCCTCAGATTTTCTCACTCCCTTTTCATGTTGGTAACAGGAGGCGGCCCAGGTCAGCCTCAGGTCAGCGACGTTTGGGCTCTTTAGTGCCCCTCTGTGAATACCTCGGTTCTGTAATAGTTTTTCCTTTAAAAACAGCTCTGCCTTCTTTGGC